GCAAAGTGAAGTCAAATTTTTAAAGTGAAGTCACCAAAGGATCCTTCTGTTTTTTATCCCAACTGCCTCATCACACTAAACGTAATGAGCAAATTAGGCAGTGGGAAAACTATTTGGGGGGGACAACTGAGAGGTAGTAGCATCCAAAAGATGCTGCAATAATTATGCAAATTTCACTTAGGTCCATCGTCTAGCCGAGACGGCAACCGGCAGCAGTGACACCTTTCGCAGGACCAAGGCAATTTGCAGTCGGTGTCTGTCTCCGTGAAACGTGCGAAAGGAACAGGCCGTGACCCGTGCACCTCGTAACACCCGCTGACCCCTCAGCCAGCCACTCACACAAAACGTAAGCGCATTTTAATGATCTCATTTATGCTAATCTGCCAACGCTTGAATCTGTGTGTTCACGCACAAACACAGCCGAGAGAGAGTGAGAGAAAACCACAAAAGCGGAGCTAAGGGGAGAGGAGGGTTCTGTGTGGGTTGGAAACTAACTGCCACCGGCTGCTAATGCTAATGAAGTCTAATTGAATTTCGGACACTTGACACGTCCCACAATCTCTGATCTCTTGTTGACACGCTGGCCAAAGGGGGCAACGGGCATAAAACACAGACACAGTCTTTAAAACGGCAATTAAGTAACAAATGTTTAGTGGCCGATATTGATATTAATCTGGTTGTATCTAGATGTGGTTTTGTGGCAACATTAAAAGGGGATTTATGTTGGTAAATAGCAGAGACAATAACGTTATCTAAAAACAAAAAAGGAAACTAACTCAGGGAAGCCAAAGGTTATCCGCCATTTGATTTATAGGATCCAATCGAAAATCTTAAAAAATCGATAAATCGATATTTAAAAATCTCATAACTAAGCCAAAAACTCATAAATTTTAGTTCGGAAAGCTTTTCTATGTTAGTTTTAAGATGGTTAATAAATCTGAATACTCAATTTAAAATTAAAAAAATTCAAAATTTTGCAAATTTTTGACAATTTGAATGATGTAACTTTTTGAAAAATTTTGAAAAAATTAAATATTTTTTGTCGGCGGAGATATCTAGAAAACCCCGACTGTTTATACTGATTAAGAATATATGTGGTTTATAGGGTCGAAAATGATTCCTTCACTGCGCTGTACACTTTTTTGCTAATATTAGAATACTCTGAGAGGGTAAAAAAAATCCTTCTAAAATGTTGTATAAATGTAAGTTTGAAATGTGTCTTGCCACATGTCTGTATTTATTTCCGTTTCAACCTTGTCTGGCTATTCCATACACCTGGTGAGCAAGCGGACATACATGGCGTATACTTAACGTGAGAAGCCTTAAATTAAGTATACGCAGTGTGTGACTGAAAGGAGAATATTACAAATTTATTTTTACTTCCAGTTAAAAAGCGAGGTTATCAGGAAAAATAACAAACTTTGGAACGCTGAAGATTACATCCCAATTCAGTTTGCAATTGGATTATCAGATTAAATCTTTAAATAATCCCAATTTTTTAATTGATAATTTTCTATATTTTTATTTGGCAATATTTTCGCCAAACCTAAGTTTTAAAATCACATAAATTGGCTAAAAATTTTAATTCTCGAATTTTTTCTAGGTTTGTTTTTATTTGGTTTTTTTGTATCTTTGTATCTGGGTAATCATTTCTGGAAGGAAAGAACTTTTATGTACACTTGTTAAAGATTTAGAAATCATTATTTGATAAATTAGATTATAAATTTTTCCTCTTATAAAATCAAACATCTTCTTTTAGATTTACCTTTTTTACCTTAATTTCCCTAGTTTTGGTTTAAATCAGATTTAAAGCAATGTGTGACATGACGAGTCACACAATTCCCGTGACCAGCTCCAGTCCACCCAATCGTCCGTATCCGTATCTGAATGATGTGCGTTGGCCGAGCGGGTATCCGTATCTGTCCGGCTTCATCTGGACGGGTTCGGGCTCGATTTCCAGCTGCTATCCGACGGAGTCAACATTTGCGTTTTTGCGGTTGTGGCGGGCATAAAATTTCCTATGCATTCGACCACATTGAAAATTTCTCGTAATATTTGATTTGATTTTTAAACAAAAACGCTGCTGCCCACGCTCAGTTAGAGTCGAGATAATGGGGCCAGGGCTCGGTTCGGTGGAGACACTGGCAAGTGACGAGCAGCGTGTTGGTCAGACTGACATATTGATGAGGGGATTGCAGGATGGTAGAATGATACCCAGGACTCGTTGGGTGAATTCTGCTTTTATTAGCATGCCACTACTCCTATGTGTGTGTATGTGTGTGTATGTCTGTCTGTGTAGCAACAAAAAATCAGAATTATTTGACAACGTAGCTAATTTACATGAGAGTGCAAAGGGGAAACCCCGCCACCAGATACTCTACAATCTCTTGTATCTCACATCCCGACAGGCTGCGGCTTCTGTCTGCGGCTTCTCCTGCTGCTGCTACTGTGCTGTGGCGGCAGCAGTCCATGCATCTCGGCCTGAAACTGGACTGAAAGTGGAATGCGGCATCTCTGTCCCTTGGCCTCGTTACCAAATCGTCGAACAGCATTTTAAGTGGCGGCAAAAAGTTGAAACCGCTTTCGACTTGCGTTCAATTTCATTTAATTACTTTGGCGTAAATTTCGAAACTTTATTACCGATGTTGGAGGAGCGAACAAAAAAGTTCAACCGATGTGGAAAATACTCTGGGAATTACTTAATTCGTCGTTATATATCGTGATATGCGATTTAAAATATAAGTAGGCACTTATTTCAGTAGCTTACTCCCAAAATTAAATAAAACAAGAAAGGAAGCTAACTTCGGCACGCCGAAGTTTATATACCCTTGCAGATAGAACTTCTATGACTTGGATTCCCAACAATATAAATTATATTTATTATATTATATGGCTATACCTCAAATTTGATGAAAATCTGTTGAAAACTAAAAAAGTTATAATTTTTAATTGTATTAATTTCTCGATCGTTCCTATGGGAGCTATTTGATATTGTAGTCCGATTTTCATAAAATTTTACACAAAATTGAAGAGTATAATAAAATGGGTATATTTTAAATTTGATTCAATTCTATTGAAAACTGAACATGTTACATTTTTTTTTGTAAAACTTTTTCGATCATTGGCAGCTATATGATATAGTCGTCCGATCCGGCCCGTTCCGACATATATATGAGTGAGAGTATATAAAAGGCTAACTACAAAGTTTCATTCAGATAGCTTCAAAACTGAGAGACTAGTTTGCGTAGAAATGGACAGACGGACATGGCTAGATCGACTCGGCTGTTGATCCTGATCAAGAATATATATACTTTATATGGTTCTTCCCTGCGTTCCAAACTTCTGACTGAAATTATAATACCCTGCAAGGGTATAAAAAAAACAAAAAGGTAAAATTACTTAGTATAAGTAATGCTGTTAAACAAGGAGTTTCAATTAATAATAATTGGTATTAAACAAATCATTTTATTATTAAATATGCATACATATCAAATATTTTATTATTATTTTAATAACATTTCAAGGTTAAATATAGGGTTAAGATTAATTGCACACTCTTCTGACAGAGAGACAGGTCTGATGATTGCAAACAGCTTAAATTATCACCCAAAACTGTTGCGTGCTAAAAGACAGCGGAGAGAACAAAAAAAGATAATTAAATAATAACAAATAAAAAACAAAAATCTAAACTAACTTTGGGATACCGAAGTTTACATGCCCTTACAATTTTCAATCAAATTATAAGATCAAGACGCGGAAATCGTACATTACTAAGCTTAAAATATATGCATTCTTTTATTTATAGGTATATTCATATGTCAATTTGTTCGATAAATCAAATTTTAAGAATCTCAAAACTAAGCAAAAAAAAAAAAAATTAGCTCGGATAGCTTTCCTATATTAGTTTTATTTAGGTTAATAAATCTGCATTTTTAAATATAAAGAATATACATACATATGTATGTATATTATTTATAGGGTCGGAAATGATTCCTTCACAGCCTATCAAGCTTCTGAATGAAAATAAAATACCCTGCCAAGGGTATAACAGAACAGAAAATATGACTCGACCGAGCAACTGATAATTAATATTTGTCAAGTTATGAGTATCCACCAAATTGACTCTGATTAACTTTATTACAACAAATATAAAAAACAACCTTTTAGACTTTATTTTTGATAATTTTTTTTAAGACATACAAAGCCCAAAGAAAAGTTTGAAGACTTTCTTATCGCAACCATTAGAGGGAGGCGGCAATAGCATGAGTAATACGAATAATGAAATAGAGATTCCAATAAAGCATAATCAGCATCATTGCGCTGTTAGGTCTTGAGCCAACAAAAGAGAGAGTGAGTGAGTGGGAGAGAGGGCGTGTGATCAGCGAAAGCGTGACAAAGGAAAGCCCGCAGCCACGCGATAATGCATATTATTTATTACATATCCACATATGCATATATGTACCCATGTACAAATGGGGAGTTTACACATGTCTGATATGGAAGCAAAACATATGTAAATGCAAATTTATACAGCGGGAAAGATAGTGCTTGGCGATAACAGGGCCTGATTCCTATCTAAACTGTAACAGGTGCCCAGCAGACTCGAGAAACGCGATCCCGAGATAAAATTGATTGATAAGGGGGGTTGGGGTGAGTGTGTGTATAGGACGCGGGGGAAATGGGGCGGCAAGAACACAAAGCTCAAAGAGAGCTTCACGCAGGAAAGCTTCTCTACGCTGATTGTTATTGTTTACGAGCTCACTCTTTCCACTCTCTCTCTCTCTCTCTGCCCCCCAATCTGTCTCTCTGACTTTGGGGCTCGAGTTTCAATTTAGTCAATTTACCGTTACCGTTACAGTTGCACTTGATGAACGGCACCGAACGAACAGCCGAAGCTGAGCCGTGGAGCAGCCGAAGCGGCAGCCGAAACCGGAGCCGAGCCACCTCCATAGGTTCATCCTGGCTCCACGACGAGCTGGTAAGCAAGTTGGAGCCTCAGTTGTGGCTGGAACGCCAGCCGCGATCGGTCTATCCCTCTCTTTCTCTTGCCCTCTCGTGTCTGTGCCGCCCCAAGCACTCTCCTCAAACTCTCACTCTCACTGTGCCTCCCCACCCACGCTATGTGCTTTTGTTGTGAATGAGACCCGTTTACTACAACCGTTACTTTCGCCCACCCGTCTTGCTCCCGCTACCACTGCCGTTTTGTTGACGTTTGTCTTTGTCTGTCATGTATCGGCATAATGCGGAGAGCTCGTTCTGTTTCATCAATCGCCTCAACGGGAATGCCAACAACGATGAACTGCAGCAGCCGGGCGAGCATGAGCCCACCTCCGCCCTCCTGGACTACTGCAAAAGAAAGGTGGGTCTGAAACTGCTGGTTTGGTGTGATGGGTGTGGTGGCATCGCGAAGGCATCACACCGTCCACCACCCGCGGCAAATGGATTACCTAACCAACGCATCGTGGGAACTAATATGTCTCTACTCCGTACACAGTTCCTCCGTCCGTATGTGGCCATCCTGACGCTGGTGGGGCTTAATCCCATATCAACGGATATGAGCAATGTCCGAGCCTGCTGCAGCTATGTCCAGGCGCTAATGGTGCTATTTGTGCTGTTGCTCGGCTATGTTTTGCGGTACATTTGCGGCTACAGGTGAGTGCGAATCCGCTGCACAGTGAAAAACCAGGTGGCATAAATCACTTGTCAATATATTTTAAAAGAATTTACTACCTGTCACAACAACAAATACCAGCACGTAGTTAAAGCATTCTGCTCTAACTATATACTTGAGTGACTTCTTTATATGCTTATTATATGTCTTTATTTATCACCTCAAAAATATTCCGAGTCACATAAGGGATTCGTCTAGTTATAAAGATTTATGGCCTATAATAATCGCATCCCAAATAAACCCTTTGAATATATCCATTTAATTTTCTTTTTTACAGAGGCGATCGTGGTTTCAACAGCTACCGGGATATCAGACCTATCACAAATGGAACCGATAACGGAGCAATCACTCCAAACACCATTGGAGAACTCCTATTTGGCTACATCGTGCCCAGTGCTTTTAATCTAATGGGATTCATATCAGCAGTCTTAGTATGCAAGGTTATTGACCACGAGCAGCTCCAGAACCTCATCGAACGGGTTTTCCTGATGTCTGCTAAGCCGAAGAGACTCTGCCGGATGTTGTGGTTCTTCTTGAGCGTAGCACTGGCCCTGCTGATTTTGCTCTTCGTATACGCCTGCTGTGTGGTGGTGATGCAGCCTGCCCAGATCGTGAAGGTGTCCTGGCTGGCCGAGGTTTTAACCGACTGGGAGACAGCTCTGCGAGTTGGTCTTCTAATCACCATACTGCTGCAAGATCTTGTGGAAATAATTATACTGAGCAACTACTACATCGAGTGCTACTTGCTGAGAATGCATCTGGAGACGCTGTCACATAAGCTGCTGATGCATTCTATCGACTCGCTGGACTGGATGAGGGAAGTCCTGGAGTTCCGCAAGCTACTGGAGCGTCTAAATCAGCATGTATCCATCCCTGTGTGCTTCCTGATTGTGATGAATTTGGCATACGCCTTTGCGGGACTTGTGTATCTCTTCAAGGACTTTGATTTCCATTTTTGTGCCTTGAAGCTTGTCCTGCTGAACATTGCCAATGTGGTGCTGTGGCTGTTTTTGGGATTGCTGCCCTTTTTTGTTGCATCCTCGGTGACGCGAGTGTGTCAGAATGCCCAGGCGAACGGCCATCAGATACGGGTTCGTCCGTTTGTTTACCATAATACCTCAGCGGAGGATCTCAACTCGACGTTGCTTTTTGCCGCCTCGCTGGACATGTCCGCCAAACTCTTCAGGATGCCCATCCAGCCGAATTACTTATGCTTTGCCATCCTCGTGGTGGTCATCGTTATCCTCACGTTGGGCATGTGCCTGAATCTCACCGCCCTGGGCAAAATGTAACCATGTACGCCAATATAATAATAAACTATTATAGTATTTGTCTAGCTTACAATCTTGCGAACTGACTGGCTGGTGGCTGCTAAGCAATTTATTTACATTTGATGGCTTTTGTCTACTAAATTCGCTACTTATTGTTACTCTAAGGATTAATCTCAGTTGCTGTATTGATTGCTTGTTTTAAATACAATTATGCACTTTGGTTTTCAAATCGTATGTGCTTCGTCCACATTATTAGGATCTTGTCACCAGCCCAGCCACGGCGGATGGTTGATCTTGGAGGGCGGGGTGAAGGTGAGGTTAACGGGTATGTTGATTAAGGCTTGAACCCGCTTCAGTCGCTGCAGCGTCGACCGGATGATGACACCGTTCTTGCCGAGCAGAAAGCCAGCCGGTATATTGGCGTCCCGGTACGTATTGTCATGTATCATCTCAATGTAGTGTTCAAACTCCGGCGAGCTGGGATTGTACTCGGTAACGATTGCGCCCAATGCCCCAGCCGCCTCGGCATGGAGCGTTTTGGTGAGGAAGGAGCACTCCCTAAAAGAAGAGAATCATTAAGATAAGGTCATAGATAAGCAGATATGGGTGTGTCTTGATTCGAAAGGTAAAAGGGTGTCAAGTTTTTGATAAAAGCTGATGTACAACTAAAATTTTATGTTTAAACAACTTCTCCAATATAGCGAATCTCTATAAATCTCTATTTTTGACGGAAAAGATTTCCTGGTTTCCTGGTAACGGCTTTAAGGCATAAAGCCCTCAACGCACGTAACTTGATTGTGACAGCCTGATAATATGATAATATTAAATATTAAAAGCGCTCAACTTGACGGAAATCAAAATATTTCCATAGGTGATACAAGTAGCCTTGCCTGTTGGTATAGGTAAGGTAAAACCTACTTCTGATAGTGAGTTTATATGCACCACCTCTTAGACTACACTATCCCCTAAGATAAGCCCTATTAAGGGGCAATTCTCACCCTCGATCGATGAGCGCGACGCCTCCATTAAGATCGCGAGCATTCCGAATCTTCTGGCAGGCGCCCGGTGGATCCGTAAGGACCAGAGGCACACCCTCCAGTCGCTCCGAGAAGACGGCGCCAAAATCCTTGGCCGGTCGCAGCCGGTATGTGTACTCCAAATCCGTCGGCGAGATGATTTCAAAGAACACGTCGCCGGCTATGATATCCTGCGTGGTGATCGGTATCGAGATCGTGGTGCTGGCTCTGATGCAGCGACTCAGTGTGGCGGCAAGCACTAACCAAACAATTAGCATTTTGGCCACGAACGCATAACTAACGTAAATATTTTTGTGCAAATAAATAACAAACTTATTCTTAAGGTGTTAGTGATGGGACATTACTAAATGGTCTCCCCGGCGATAATATCGGCACTTGCAAAAACTATCCAAGCATCAGGTAGGTCCAGCTCTAGCGGCCAAAAAGCACTCGATAACATTACGATAGAAAAAATTAATTCATTTTTAAATTAAATTCTGTATGTATGTAATATTGACAGAAAACTCGTAAATAAGTTACACTCCTTTAAATATAAAAAAAGGAAAATATATAAATTTAAATACCCCTTATGTAGTAATCGATAATCCAAGAGCAAATGGCTAAATTATAGGCAAATTTGGCATTTAATATTATGAAAATATCTGCAAATTAACCGTACCTAATGATGTTAATTATTATACCTAAGAAGTTTCACACAAGGCATCAGTGCTATGAAGCAATATGCGAAAATGTATAATATTTTTCACATACACAAACGAGTTTTCATTAAACAACCCTATTTCAACCGGCATTTTCTTGAGCATGACCTTAACAACTATCGTTAATCTAAGAAGGAGATATTTTGAAATTACCTTTAAGGCACTTCAAATTATTTTTATTGTGTAAGTTAATAATGTGGATCCAATTAAATGACTCATTTTGGCAATCATTTTAACCCTTATTTATCATATAATTCATGAGGGTACCCTTAATGCGGCAATCGATAAGCGGAATAAAGTCTCCAAAAATGTCATCCCTGCGGGCACACTGGGATTGCGTCAGCAAAAAGTCCCAAAATAGCCGCTCGAATTGGGTTATGTATGTCACCTTAATCTTTGGAACTTATCTCTATCGAGCCCTAGTGCAATGAGCAAGGGGAAAATGAAAATCCTGATTCTAGGGAACGAAATAGGCCCCGAGAAAGCAATAGGGCCGGCGACATAGCCAGGATTTTAAGTTTTCGTTTTGATTGCCATATTGCCGCATCTCAAACCAATGTGCACCGCGTGGAGGACCAGTGTTGCAATTATTCGCATCCGAAGCAACTCTGACCAACACTCGATACCCGTCAACTCAGTACTCACGGCAGCCATTTTAATTTTTGGCGTCGAAAATATACGGCGAGGAAGGAAATCTGCCGGAGATCCTGTTCGTCTGTGTGGTTTTTTCGCATCCAGCGCAAGCAGTGTGTAGTGCTCGAGTGAGTGTGAGGAAGAGAGGAAGCAGCAGAAGCCGTTGAGGAGCGAATTCAGTCTTGTGTGAGGATCCGAGAAAAAGAAAAGAAGCGGAGATGTCGATGTCTGCCACGTGCTACAAGTGCAACCGGCCGGGCCACTTTGCCCGGGACTGCAGTCTCGGCGGCGCACCTGGCGTCGGTGGAGGCGGCGGCGGCGGTGGTATGCGCGGTGGCGATGGCGGCGGCATGCGTCGCAACCGGGAGAAGTGCTACAAATGCAACCAGTTCGGGCACTTTGCACGTGCCTGCCCAGAGGAGGCCGAGCGGTGCTACCGCTGCAACGGCATCGGGCACATCTCGAAGGACTGCACCCAGGCGGACAATCCGACCTGCTATCGCTGCAACAAGACCGGCCACTGGGTGCGCAACTGCCCCGAGGCTGTCAATGAGCGCGGGCCGGCCAACGTGTCGTGCTATAAGTGCAACCGCACCGGACACATCTCCAAGAACTGCCCGGAGACCTCCAAGACTTGCTATGGCTGCGGTAAGAGCGGACACTTGAGGCGCGAGTGCGACGAGAAGGGCGGACGGAACTAGGCCACCAACACTAGGACTACCCCCCAAAAATATATAATCATCGAAGGAGGAATGCGAAAATTTCAACACGAAGAAGAACAAGTTAACGAAGATTATGCTGATGACGATGAAAAAGAAGAAAGATGAAAAAAAACATGAAAAACGAAAAATCAATTTGCTACAACATTCACATAAGCCAGCCAACAGCAACAACAACAGCTAGGCAGAAGCCGAAGCAAAAGCAACAGCAGCAGCAGCACCCACGTCAAGATCGATCCAACACCCATCCAGCCGAAATCCATACGCCTCAGCCATCTTCAAGACATGAATCCCATGAACTACAAAATCATTAACAATCCCAATCCCAGCCAGTACCATCCCATCTCTGATTCCAAAAGCTGAGCCTGCAGCGCGGTGCCAACAACGTCCCAGAAGGAGAATGAGAGGAAGACGAAACGACGACCCAATTTGTAAGATGAGACTAAGCCACAACAACACCAACACAGCAACAACAACAAGAGAATTCACCAAGCAAACCACTTTATTATAATTATATATATGATTATGCTGCAAAGTGTTTGAATTTACTAATTAAAATTATAACGAATGGAATGAAACTATATAAGATTATATAAAACAAACATAAAAACGAATACCTTAAATTACTATATAGAAGCGAAAACATAATTATGATCCTATTGGGAGTTTCACAGAAAAAAATAAAATAAAATACAAAAAAAAAAACAATCGGAAGGAAAATCATAAATAAAAATGATCAAAAACAAAATCAAAGAAGCAGAGGCGAAGAATCCACACTTTACTACTCTACTCTGACTCCATCCAGCTGCTGCCGGCGACGCGAGCCTTGGCAAGATGTTACCAACAACTTACCCCACCACCCACCACACCATCTCAAGTAACCCATCAAGTAATCAAATCGGCCGGCAAGATCTCTCGAGCGGGGTAGCTAGCTATGTAGTGAATAATGCTGAGGAAGAGAGCCGAAAGGGGGCAGCGCAAAAAAGCAAGAACAGAGAAGCAGACTAAGAACAAGAGGAGAACATCAACAATGGTAGACACACACAGCAACAATAACACCCAAGAACAAGAACAACTATGGAAAGCAACGCAACGCTGGAGAGGATGAGCTAAGCGGTAGACAAAGAAGAAGACGAAACGGCACTCAGAACTCGGAACACACCACAAAAGATGCGAAAACCTATGTACGATGAAGAAAATGAAATTCAAATATCACTGTGATTGTTTTTTAATTGTAAATTAAAATGCTGGAGCTGCTGATTTGAGACAAAAAAAATATAATCTCAGGCATGCGTTATTTCTTGACCGGGCGGGCGATCGGGGACACCACTCTCTTTATCTCTCTCTCTCTCTATCTATCTCTTCCAACCAGTTTACCGGCACAATTGCAGCTGCGAACACATGGCGCGGGCAGCTGATGGGGGCTCTCGCGAAATCAGCTTGAATTGTCTCTCTCCCCGGTGCTGTGTGTATATACATACTTGCCTGCTTTCTTTGCGCTCCTGCCTGCCCGCGTGCAGTTTATGTACAACTACGCATACATACACGCGGACTAAGTGAATATCTGCTGCGAAGTACAGTCGCCACTAATGGTGAAAACTCGATGGCGAAATAAGGCAGAGTGCGAAAGAGAGGAGGGGTGGTGGTGCGCGCAACTTTAACTCCGCCGAGTGCACTTGGCAACAAGTCGGCTGCTCTCTCACTCGCCCGCCTAGCGACTCTCCAATTGAGGGTCAAGGTCAGCGCTCGCGCATCAGCTGCTGCGCGCATGTGTGACGAAGGTTTCTCCGCCTGGCCGCTGCAGTCGGAGTTGTGTCTGGAGCTGAAAGTGGAAATGGACAAGAAGATGGAGAGGCAGAAACAGATCCCGACGATGTGGTTTTGGCGGACCGCAAGCCGGTTTAGTCTCTTTCACCGCGTTTCCTATAGTTTAATTCGACGCGATCATGGCGTATAAAATAATGGCAGGCCTACGAGGGCAGTTCCAGATGTTATGCATGAATTAATCAGATGTTTGGGAAAATAATGAAACATTTAGTTTACCTACGGCGCAATTTTTGTTCAAATTTACCTCCCTTTTGAAAATGTTGACATTTACAATGAAATCTTGTTGTTAATCAGAATTAATTTTCAAAAAAGGACAAAATTTTTTGTTAAAACAAAATGTCAAAAAATTGTAACGATTGTGCATGTCGCTTGGCCAGCGAAGTGAGCCAGTTGAAGGGTAACCACAAAGAATCCAAAAGGATATTTCAAGGACCTCATTATATAAACCACATCCCACAGCCGTTGTTAATGCCCAGAGCAAGACGCTCACCAAGCTGATCAAACAGATGAAGGATGGGTGCAAAAAAGCAGATGAGGTCAAAGAGTGTGCAATGAGCGGCTTATTGAACCCCTGTCTCAAGTGCCTGAAGCCTGATATACTATATCATTTAGGCATGGATACGGAGACTACTGATTTTCCCAAGGTTTTCGGAGACGTCCGGGTAAATGCATAATTTTCATATTTTTAAGGTATTTATTTGATTTAGAAACATTCGAAATAAGAATCCACTACCATCTTCGAAGACATTTTCAACAATGTCTTTGGATATTAATTTTGTAACCTTGTGAGGTCTTTGGGATTGTCTTTACACCTTTTTAACACATCGTACATATATGTATATTGTTTTTCCCAAATTAGTTCGTTATCATGGGTGGGACAAAGGGGCGTATGGAGCACTTTGCCTACTATGTGATGCAGGAAATCGGCCTTAAGATAAACGCGGCAACCCAGCTGCGCGATATGGCGGAGGCGGGCAATCGATTCTCCATGTTCAAGGTGGGTCCTGTGCTTTGCGTCAGCCACGGCATCGGGTGTCCCTCGATTTCCATCCTTTTGCACGAGCTCATCAAGGTAATGTATCACGCTAAGTGCCAAGATCCTGTGTTTATACGGATGGGTACATGCGGCGGTATTGGCGTCGAACCTGGAACAGTGATCATTTCCTCAGAAGCGGTGGATGGTCGTCTGAATCCAGCCCATGAGATTCTGGTGCAGGGCGCCATCGAGAGATATGACAGCACACTGGACGAGAATCTGGCAATTGACATCAAGCTCTGTCACGATCCCTGCAAGGATAGGTACGAAACCATCATTGGTAAGACACTTTGTGCCCATGACTTTTATGAGGGTCAGTCGAGATTGGATGGCGCCTTCTGCGAGTACACACCGGACCAGAAGAAGTCGTACTTGGAGCAGCTCGAGGGCCAGGACATTAAAAACATTGAGATGGAGAGTTTGGCCTTTGCCGCCCTCACCAGTCGAGCCGGCATCAGGGGCGCCGTGGTGTGCGTGGCCCTTCTGAATCGCCTTAAGGGGGATCAGGTGAATATAATGCAATGTAATGTTGTCCTTTTAAGATCTGGTCGAAAATCCTCTGCAGATACAAACGCCGAACGATGTTTTATGTAAATGGGAAAAGCGACCGCAGGAGTTGATAGCTCGATATATTCGCAAAGTTCTATACTTTAGCGATTCGGATGAAGCTGAGGAGATGGAGGATGACGAGGAGCCAAATGAATCAAGGAAGGTATCAATACAGGAATCTCAAGGAGCATCTGGAGACACCCAAAAGGATCCAGAGCCGGAGGAGGAGGAATAAATATATATATGGCTTACAGCAGGACTCTACATCCGAATTCTGTACAATCTGTGTACGTACTATAAATATTTCCGGATTGCATTATCTGTTAAAAAAACAATATTTATTAATCAGTTCAATGGTATGGATCTTGTTTTATTTAATGTTCAATTACGATATTAGGAATTTATGCTACACAATTGATAGGTTTCGTCTCTTGGGGCCTTCATTTTTGGTTAGTACAGCTGTTTTGGAGAACCTTTGGGCAGATAGGCTAGGCTAAGAGGACTCGCTTAACGCTAAACTAGTCACAAAATGAGTACCAATATCGGCCAGGGACGTACTACCAGACCCTGGAGTTCTAATAGAATCACAAACAAAGTACACAATGCATGTATGCTGCATATATAGCTATCAGTATCGATATAAGTTACAATTTAAACTAAAAACATGAGGTTGTTTCTATGGATTTTACTCTTAACATCCACCATCACTCCCATATCGCAAGGATGGCAAAAATATCGATGATGATACGCCTCTACTTCTCCGACTTGTTGCGTGTTTTGGCCTGTCCGGTGTTGGCAGTTCCGCCCGATCCCTGGGATCTATCCGTTCTCCGGCTGCTGCTAGTCCGCGGCAAGGTAGTGTAGCTAGCAGACATGGATTTGTCCTGAAATGAGTCCAGCAAGAGCAGAGAAAACTTATTAGTACAAAAGTTAAGTAAGACGGATCCTTCAGCTATAAAACAGTTCAAAAATCATGCTGCAAAACCTTAAATCTGAGTTAGTAACGCAACTGTACAAAGGGAATAATGCCATATATTTATTTTTTTTGTGGGTCATGGGGCCATGGAAGTTAAGACGCGGGCGGAGCTGACGTAGCCCGGCGGTGAGAGCGATACATAGATTTGGGAGATGATGAGAGCATCGTGTGGCTGCTGGGCTTACTTCATCATATCTGCGTCTCTCTGGCCGCCAGCTGCTGCTCATCCTCCGGCGCTGGCGACTGGCTGGGATTTGCTTTGTTACGCAGCACATTAGATTTGATATGCTTGAACAAGTGGCCGATACCTGATTTGCGTTCCACGCTGCTTGTCGATGTCTGGCTGATGGTGTCCGGCTGTGGGCTCAGTGAATGCCTTTTAGGTGGCAGAGGAGGCGGCGGAGCACGACCCTTGCCATGATTGGCTTTGGGTCGCAGTAATGGAGAAGGTGAGGCCGAGACGGATGGATCGGGATCTAGTTGAGCACGGAAACTGTGCTTGATCTCCTCCAGAGTAGCTCGCATTTCGCGTGGTGACATTGGACGCGGTCGTTCCACGAGAAATGGATCTGGTGCGGATGCAGAAGCGCTTAGAACCAGCACAAAGGGATCGATGGGTGGCATTATATCCGACTTGCATGGCCGAGAAGCCTTCACTTCATCGACTTCTGAAGTCCCATTAATATTTCTATTTAATTCTTCCTTCGAAAGTTCTTTGGTTTTGTTGGAAAGCACCTCATTTGATGCTGTCTCCTGTGATTCTTCAAAGGGCAGATCTATAAACTCTTCCTCTTCAATGGGAGCGAATACTAAATCTTCCTTTGTGGGTTCTTGCTCGGTTCCCATGGCCTCATAAAAATCATCCTCCTCATCTTCCATATCCTTCTCATCCATCTGACCTTTTACTTCCACTTCAATTTCTTGACTCTCCACAATCTTAAGCTCTTTAACAACAGGAACGGGATATTCCCCACTATGCACACCTTGAAAGAACTGCTGGTTTTCCATAAAGACCTCGTCCCTCATCTCCTCCTCCAGCAACTGCTAAACCAACACCAATCTCTAAACGGATTAAGATACATAGTTGCAAATTAAAGGGTATAGGTGATGCCTACCTCATTGCGCTTGGACTTGACACGACCTTTGGAAGCATTCGTCATGGAGGAGGTGCGACTGAGACCGCTTACAGGCTCAGCACTCGAGTAGCCGGAACTGATGTCATCCTGGCTGCGAATGTTGTAGCTGTCATAGGAGAGATCGAAAATATATAAGGGATGTTGCCTATGTAAGTCTATTTACTCACTTAAAATCGCCTGCATTTTTGGCATTCACGTCCACTTCCGTGAAGTACATGCCCGTGGAATGACGGGTACCACTACCGGACCTACCCACGGGAGTCTGATTCCTTGGCCGCAGAAGACGGCCGCCTGTGGACGGTGAACGCATCACTACGGCAGATGAAGTCATCGACGACATCATCACATCGTCCAGTTCGTCCTGCGTGCGATGCATATCCGGCTCACTCAGATCACTGAGGCTGTAGCTTCGCTTAATGGTCTGCACCAGATTGCCACCGCCCTTTAAGGGGGTTCGAAGGATTACATAGTGGGTCGTGGTGGGTTGTTGGTGGCGTGGAGTAGAGTACAATAGTTGACATTTCAATAATTTAACTTGAACTATTTTCTAATCGAAGAACTTAATTGTAAACATAGCAATAATTGTAGTGAGTGTGTGGAGAGAACTAAAAACTGTGCAAGAACGCGACGGAAGTAGGATGATGGTCATGTTTTGTGAGTGTTTATATATCGCTGAGTGTTTAAAATTCGAACGTTCGCTGAGTATCTTGATGGATCTTGGATAAGTTCTTGTTAGTCGTTCTCCACATCCACATCGGGCGTGGGTTCGCGCAGCTTACGACGCGAGCGAATCGTATCTGTTTTTGGACCGCGTTTGCCTGTCGTCCTAGCAGTCGCAGTCGCAGTTGTGCTTGAGGCTGCACGACGCGGCTGCGATCTGCGGACGGGCAAATCCCTTAGTCGAGCTGCCCCGGCATCTCCCATTGGAATATCATCCTGAACATCATCCTCCTCTTCGGTCACTTCGCGGATAACCAATCGTCTGGTATCCATCCTCGGTGCCTCGTAGATCGTCTCGCTGTGGCTGTAGATGCTGCTGAGGGAACTGGATCGCGGCAGCCAATCATCCGTGGCATCCAGCATGTCCTGGTTACGGTTTAGCTCATTCGCCGAATGGGAGTTGTGCAGGCCGCGTTGTTCACTACCCGGAGGACCCGTGGTCAGCGCAAAGGTCTAGCAGTTAGTGGCAGCGGGTTAGTGGCAGTCGAGCGGTGGTGCAGGCAGGTGCGTTTAGTTTTATAGGTTTTATAATTTTTGTTTGTGGGTTAAATGCAAAGAAACATAAGTGAAGAAACGAAGAAAAAAAAACGTTAATTAAAAAAGAGCAACGCAAAAAATTCTCAAATTGAAATGAATTGCAGGCTGGGTCACAGACGCTACACACACTCACTCGCAACGAGAATTGTCTCATGATATGCCCCGGTATCTATTTATATTTATATGTATGCCGCCCTACCCTAGAGAGCCGCCTCGGAATTGGAATTAGAATTGTGCAACTGGGCAACTACTGAGGAGGAATGCCAATGGGGAAACCAAGGAGTGCCTACCAGGTACATATATCCGCTATAAACTGAATAGAATTCTAAACAAAGAAGTCCTCAAACCAAGGACTAGAAACAAAGAAGTTTCTAACTTGATTTAAGCCTACTAAAGTTTTTTTATATGTATTAAACTATTTACTTATACAACCTATTAAAACAAACTCTAATTCAACAAATATACATTTAAATTCTTCCTTTGAATTGTATTTTACAGTTTTTGCCTGCACTCTTTGCACAAACATAAAAGACCTCGTATATATAAACATAGGTATTCACTTCAAAAATAGACTATCCCTTTTGTTCAGACACCTAAACGAATGGTCTTTGTCCGATTAACAAAAGAAAGGAATCTCAAGTTTTCCAGAAATCCCAATGACTAATTCACATTCTTTCCTACAAATTGATACAGTTGTTCCCAACAATATCTTTCTGTATACATTTTGACCTACATCAATGGGAGGAAACTTATTTATCGACTGCATTAGTTGATCATCCAGAAGCTAAAAGTACGTTGCATCCCACAAGCTTCTTGGCCCACATCTCAATATTGTTTACATACAAATTGTGAATAGCGATGGGCAATTAGCTGGGGGCGGGATGAGCTCTGGCAGGGGTTTGTTTAGTTTTTGTTTTTATTACATTATTTCAACATGTTTGATTTATCTTCTGGCGTGCATCGCCTCTAGTTTATATAGTATATAGTGCTGATCTGGCTACACACAAAGAGAAACACACTACAAACTAAAGCGAAACAAACACACGCAAAAATGGCACAAAAGAGCTTTCAATTCTAGACGTTTTAAACTAAATAATATTAAAAAGTAAATGTGAAGAGAAGAAGGCGAGCGAGCTGATGCTAATGATGCTGATGTTAATGATGATGTGGGGGAGCTCCCGTCGGCCGCTGCTGCTACTGCTGGGGATTCGCTGCTGACCAGTTTTGCGATGATTAAGATGAGCACGCGAGCGTATTGCGCAAATTTATTTCGAATATATATATATGTATATATATATATGTATGAAAGACAGCAGAAGCTGCTCATTTTATGCAACGACGCTGGAGGCGATCGAAAATGGCCAAATGAATGTGATTGAGCAAGTCGAGTGTGTGTGTGTGAGTGTGCGATATTGTGTGTGAATGTGTCAGTGGGGGCTGTTGGTGGAGGCTTGTGCAGATGGGATTACCTTGATGGCCGTCTGCATGAGGACATTGGTGGCATAGTTGACTCCCTTAGAGCCCAGCTGCAGCACTGCCGAATAGCCCCGCTCCTTGGCCTGATTCACATACTCATCGATCTCCTGCACAAAGAGAAAATAAAGCAAGTCGATTTAGAATATTTATACTTATATATATGAGAGATCTTTGTTCCCACCTGTTCGTGGCGCGTCAACATCGGATGCACGAACTTGCGATACAGCGTTGAACTGCCCTTTGTGGCCGGGGAGAGAAGCCAAAAGACGAGGGCCACCTTGATCTCGTAGTAAAACGGTATCCAGGAGACGAAGATGTCCGTAAATGTTTCAATGCAGGTGAAAAATGCAAAGACTATCCAGTACATCATCCATTTGACCTGAGGGAAGGGAGAAATAAATATAGTCTATAATTTAGTTTCAACTTTACATATATGAACATTTCAAAATGCTGACAAATTGTTTAAATTATGCTTGATAAGTAATCAACATATCCGGTAATTACTTCTACTAATTTGAGCAGTATTTAATTTGATCATGATTATCAAATACAATTTAATGAAAGTCAGTAATAAAATAGTAGATATTGTGAAAGGATTTATAGTTTTTCTACAGCTAAAAATGGATTTATAAATCTGTGCATGATCTTTGTAGTCTCTATATTCTAGTTTATATTGAATACTCACATATTCCTTGACATCCTTGGTCCTGACGGCCTTGTAGGAGGCATAGGCCGGATAGAGGGTGCCGCAGAACAATCTGAAAGCGGGAAACAGTAAACTCTGTACACAAGTACGCGGTGCTAGAAATATGACAATTAGCGAACAGATGCAGGTCGTGTTGAAGGAAAGGCACGGCAATGGACAGCGCTGCAGTAGCTCCAGAATTCGGCCCACTGCATTGAGATTCTGGACCATCTTTGCGGCAGGTGGCACCTGTGGCGGCTGCTCCACAATATACGCGCCACCGTTGTAGTAATCATTGTCCGTGAAATCGCTATCCAGCGAAGTCATCGAGTCTCCCAGCTGGTACAGCGGATAGGGAGCCCGACGACCGTGCTGATTCTGTTGCTGCTGCTGTTGGGCGTATATAAATTTCGGATACACCGGTATCACATCCTCATCCGTTAGGTGCTGCTCTTCCTCGAGCGAGTAGCTGCGCCCGTAGACAATGCCCGGCGGATGACGTAGGCGTCGGAGATTAGCTGGCCGCTGCTGGTGGTAGTAGAGCGGCTGCGCCCGCGGCTCCTGCTGATAGATTGGCCGGCTCATGGCGACGGCGACTATGCATAGCCCGCAGCTGGGCAAATAGTCTGTACGATCCTGGCCGCTAGAACGCCGAGCAGAGACTGGTGCTAGCGGAGAACAGACGTGCGCCATCTAACGCTCTGGCGGGGGGTCTATTAATAAACACTCGCTTTGGTCTCGGAGAGCACCAGCAGCAGTAGCAGCCTCTCAGGCAATGTTTACACCGCGAAATGCCCGCCACAGTACGGGTTAACACAGACGCGGTGAGATCAATAGCATTTCTTGGGGTTTAACGAAGTCTAGCATTTTTCAACATTATTGACAAAACTCCTATACATCTAAGGCTTTAATTAATTAATAGGAACATTCTAATTCTGACGTTTGGCATAGGTGTGCTATTAATTCGACCGTCATTGTTGCGACATCCAACATATGAACGCCAAGTGCAAATTCGTGCCCGATCTATAAATATTGACAACAATAGGCCGCAACTTTTGCGGGGAGTCACAAAGAGAGTATATAGCCGGCTATATAGCAAAATGTTCGGTATCCATATTGGGAAAGGCGAGAGAGCGACCTCAGAAAGCAGCAAACTCCAAATTAGGACTTCAATTGAGGGTTAAACACACGCACATCGCACACAGCTGCAAGTGAACGGTACTTGGCGACAGCTGATTAATAAACAAACAATCGGGCAAATCACTAAAGGCGAGCGCTAACCACGCTCGAGAAACCACGGAAATACACTCGTAAACTAAAAAAAAATCAGAAGCGTGACGCCCACACAATTAGGAATCGAGGCGGCAGTGACTCTTCCAAGTTTTTTTTTTACTCGATTCGAAGGCCGAGCTTGAAGTTTTTTTGGGGGTCAGCAGCGGAAACAACAGCAGCAGCAGTAACAGCAGCAGCGGCGCTCTCGCTTGCACTCCCACTCTGTTCGCTTACACTGGAGAACGGTGAAGTAAGGAGTTACTGGTATTTACTTACATTATCAACCGCGAAAATAGACTGCTGATCATTTTGATGGCCTGACCTCGGGGTTTCTTTGTTCTGCAAAGAAGGAGAATAAGTAATCGTCCTTTGTGGCCCTCATCCTGGCATCTCACCTACCCTCCTTACTACTCGTATAATTTCAGGTGCTCAAAATACGTTTTTTGAGCAATTTTAACTGACTTGTTCGAAATAAAGTTGACACACTCGTTGAAGTTGTAGTTAACTGCGATTGAACAACGAGGAGAAGCAGGAGAAGAAATGGATGAGGAGGACTCCAACTTGAATTGACTACGCAATTTTTTAGCACCGTGTTGCGTCGCCACTGGATAATTGTGTGTGCATCGCCAGATCTGTTTCGAACAGCTCGACTACATGGCTTTGTGCATTTTTTTCATTTGTAATGGGTCACTTTTTGTGCTCGGATTTGTGCCTGCATTGCCCGCGAATAATTCGCTTTTGTTTAATTTCGTTCGCTGCTGACAACAAAAAAAAACGTTTGCTGGACAGAGACAGAGGAACAACAACAAAGCTGCTGCGCTAGAGATGTGATGAAATGCGCGTTCTGAAGCATACTGAAAAAATACCAAAGTCGAAATATACTAACGATTGGTGGGTCACATTAAATTTTTATATATATTTTTAAATTTAATTTTAATAATCTATGTGGTTTTGTACGTATTTAAAAAAAACTAGCACTTAGATTTATTAAAACAAATAAACAAAACAATAAAATACATTAGGATTGCTTCGGCACGATGTAGTTTGTGTATCCTCGTATTCATATTTGCAGCAACAGCGAAATATGCCGAGATTTATTACAGTCATCTACATATACTTCTTATATTTACAGCTATAGTTCGGAATTGATATAATATAGAAGTCAGGTTTTTTATAAATTTAAAATCAAAATTCTGAAATTATACCTAATGCTTATATGTCAAATTTTATGAAAATCTGTTGAAAATTGGGAAGGTTATAATTTTTTTTCTAATAATTTTCCTATGGTTCCTTTGGCAGCTATATGGTATAGTGATGCTGATTAAGAACATATGTACATACTACATATAGTCGGAATTACTCTTACATTGCGTTTCAAAATGTTGACTAAAGTGATATTACCCTGCAATGGTATAAAACTCCTAGTCCAACAAATATATTATTTGATATGCGGTTCAATTTAAACGTCTATTAGTTAATTTGATCAAATCATTCTGTGCAACTAAAATAAAATCATTATGTCTAAATAATCATTTATAAAGTTTTCAAAGATTTTAGATTTTGCATTGTGGTGAGTTTACCTGATCCCTGGTGACGCGCTTTTCGCTTTTCGGTATTTTTTATTTCTGACTTGCGGCCACATTGCCGGCTCAAATTGCCGAAATTTCTTCAAAACCAATAGAATTTATAAAATTAATACAAGAAAGTGACAAAAATGGCGCAGAATGCACCACCCTGCAAGGACACACAGGCGAGTATAATTCGAAGTGGCTTTTCCAAAATCAATTGTGAGCTAGTTATTCAAGTGAATTGAATAACTTTAAAGATCGGAGAGGCCATGCCTTTTAACTTGTGGACAAATCTACAAAACGAAATTAAGCATTAAAAGAGCTTCTTATTAATTAACTATAATGGTTAATTTGCAGGATTTTCAGTTTAAGCTCCATGACAAATTCGTGGCTTTCAAGAAATGCGGAGAGCCGCGCAGCAATGTAAAATTACTGGCGATCTCCTGCAGCCGAGGCTTGCTCTTTGCCGGGAATCCTACGCAGCCAGAGTTGAAGGGTAAGTGAGGACAGCAGACAGTCCTCCCCTGTTTTACCCATATATCACACTTAAGCATGCTCCTCCACGCAGTAATCATTGTAAAGGATCTGGCCAATGCCAAAACAACGGGCCAACAGCCGCAGGCTCGCCTTGTACCCCTGCCCAGCGTTCCCAACTACATTTCGTGCAGTGCGGACGGAAATCTGCTGGCTATTAATCACACCCAGAACGGCACTAGTCTGCTCAGCATCTATGCAGTGCCATCGTTTATGACCCCGGACATTCGTCCAGTTTACAGCATCCGTTTGGCGCCGGAGGATTATGTGCATGCTGTGCAGCTTTTGTGGAATCCCGTGCTGCCCAATAGCCTGGCTGTGGTCCTCAGCAACGGTGCCCTGGGAATGTATGCGTTAAAAGAGGCTGGGAACTTTGAGATGCACTCGCTGGACAAGAGTCAGCAGGTGAAATGCGGCTGCTGGTCGCCGAAAGGAAAGCAGATCGTTCTGGGCTTTCCAAGCGGCAAGCTGCAGCAGTTTAAGCCGGATCTGACACCCGCCAAAACGCTGGTGTGCCCGTCAAATGTCCATGACGCCCCCTTCGATACGATTGCCATTCAGTGGCTGTCGACTTTCCAGTTCGCTGTGATCTTCCTGCAACACGGCGAGGACTGCAATCCATCGTTGTACATTCTGAATGCACCGAAGGCGGCTGCTCCCAGCTACATCAACTACTATGACATTTGCTACAGTTTGAATGGGCCGCGTAACCATCAGTTCCTGTTCAACCATGTGCCGCAGTGGAACGTGCTGCTGGTGACCTCGGCTAATGGCGTTGAAGTGGGCATTATGGGCACCGCGGAGGCCGGCGATACTCCCGCCTGGCAGCAGTTCACATTGCTGGATGAGGCGAGGATTGAGCTACCGCTAAGCGAGTCCACTCAGGAGGAGACTTTCCCGCTGGGCTTCGTCTATGACACCTCCTCAACGCATCAGCTGATCATAAACGAGCAGAAGCTTCAAACGATGCCAATGGTGCACGTGTTAGGCTCGGACGGAGCCCTGCTGTCTTTTAACTTTTTAAATCTGCTGCCGGGAGCCGTTTCTGTCTGCTCACCTCCTCCACCGGTGGCGGATACTTCGGGCCAGTTCCGAGCACTCAACTCGCTGCTGCCAGCAAGCGATGAGGAACAGGAAGACGAAGTGCAGCAGCCGGCGACGACAGAAACTACCAGTCCAACGTCCAAAACACCAGCTGTTGGTGCTTCCTCGGACTTCTCCTTCGCCTTCACCCCAAATACGGTCACATCAACACCAGCTCCGGCAAAGGACAAGCCATTATCCATGTTCTCTTTTGCCAGTCCGGCAGCCAAGTCTGGCTCTGCATCGCAATTAACCTTTGGCGCTGCTCCGCCGACAGAACCACTTTCCTTTGCTGCCCCAACGGCCACACAAGCAAAACCAGCCGCCGCAGGTTTTGGAGGATTTGGTGTTCCATCGACGACTGCGTCAGCAGGTTCGATGTTTTCCGCTCCTGGCATGGCTTTAAGTAAATCCAATTCAGGTATAGTAACGCCACGCCTGGCAGCTCCAGAAGTAACAGCTGCTACTGTACCTAATGGCACTGCTGGGAATCTCCTGAGGAACCCACTCTACACAGTCCCGCCGACATTTACGCCTGTGGCCACTAAGGCAATTACTCCGACAGCAACTCCTCCTGCTATGCCAGCAGCAGATATCCTAAAACTTGATGACACAGAGCCTATCATCAGGGATATGATTGCCCTGCAGATTGAGGGCTTTAATGCTGACATTCAAAAGCAAAAAGAACGCACCAAGCAGCTGCTAAACACGGTAAGATATAGAATAGAATTTTATTATATTTATTATCTATATATTAACTATTGCTAACAGATTGCTACACCGTCGGCTCTGAAAGGGTATGCGAAGCGTTTGGATGATCTTCAAGAGTTAAATGAGCAGGCCAAGGATGTGGAGTTCGAGTTGGATGTGCAGGGGTTGCGGCAGGGTCTGAACGAGGCTTATGCCATCGTGGCAGAGTGCCGAGGCAAGTTGGAGATCTACAGGAAGCCAGAGTGAGTTCAGCCTTCTAATTTATATCAAAGACTACAATTTTCCGCCATTCCTCTTAGTATCACCCGTTTGATGAACTCCAGCTCCTACGATCCAGCTGGCCGCCGCATGCTGGCCCGTCTCCAAAGCTATGTTGCCGCCAATGAAGCACAGTTAGTGTTGGCCCAGCAGCATATCGATGTGCAGTGGGAGCAGTTCCAGGACGTTGTCCGGCGCAATTCCAAGTCACGCCTGCATATGCCGTGCCTGGAGGGCATTTACCAGCGTCTGACCAAGCTGCAGAATATGGCTTCGGATCAGAGGATCCAGCAAAACAAGATAAAGGCCAAGCTCAAGGAGTGTGGTCTACTCCAGGTCGCTTTACTCGACCAGGAGAAAAGCCGGACACGCACTATGGAAGCGTGAGTATTGTTAATCCCCTTTTTGCTGAACCACTAACTGCAGTTTCCTTTGCAGCGTGGACACTCTGACTGACTCCATTCTATCGATGACCCTGAGCCAGGGGGTGGACTCAAATGCCACGAAACTGACACAGGAGAAGTTGAATAAGATACGTAGTGTGGTCCAAGCCCAGAAAATCAATATCATATGTCCGCAGCGACCGGATCGCGTGGGCCTCAAATCGGAGGTTATTTTGGAGACGAGACGTAAGGTGGAACTGATTAAAAAGGCGGAGGCCAAGCCAATGATGGCCAACAAGTACACCCAATCAGCATCGTCTGCTCTCCCTGTCGCGACAGCACCAGCTCCTGCTGTTGTAGCTCCGCAACTACCAAAACCGATGCCATCTAAGCCGACAGTGGTGGAAAAGCCCGGCATCCACACTATCGCTCCCAATCCGAGTGCCACGGTCTTTGCTTTTAGTCAAAGTAGTCCCTTCGCCAAAACTTCTACAATGACAACGACGACAAGTACTTTGACCGCAGGTGAAGCTGCAAAGCCAGGAACTTCAATTTTCGGCGGCGTAAACCCCAGCTTTAGTTTTGGTGGTGGATCAAAGACAACTCTCTCCTTTGGTGGAGGTGGCTCAACACCACCAAAACCAGCAGCAGCTGCGTCGGAGGCAGCTCCAGTATCTAAAATGAACCTGTGGCCAGGAGTAGGAAAGGATCAAACGCCGGCCCCAGAGTCCGCAAAACCGATAGCATCAGCGTCGGCAGCACCTGTTAACTCTGCCCCCGAGACAGCACAAGCTCCAAAGGCAGAAACCAAGCTGTTTGACTTTGGTGGTTTTAAGGGAGCTGGCGGAGCCGTGGGCGGCAGTGTTGTCCCTTCTGCTTTTAGCTTCGGTGGTTTGGGCTCATCGCTAGGCTTTGGCGGATCAGCCGCCCCCAAATTGGATGCTTCTCCAGTCGCAGTTGTAACTTCCACAACCTCAATGCCAGCTGCATCGTTTGGTATGTTCGCTGCAAAGCCAACTGCTAGTGAGGCTACAGTCGTGAGCAGTAAGACAAATACCGTTGTTGCCGCCACTGTCCCTGCTCCAGTCTCCACCGGAAGCGGTTTACCTAGTACTTCGGATCCCGTTGGAGGTCTCTTTACCTCTGTTAACATTTGCAAGCCAAACACTAAAGAGTCGACAACCGGTGAGTTTTTGATATCCCATTTACTAAACCTTGAAATTATTTCTAAGACAATATTTTTACCTTTCAGACTCCAGCCAGAAGCCGGCAAGTCTCTTTGGTGGCTCATCTACTGGCAGTTTTCCCTTTGGCAGCGGAACTGCCGACTCCTCAAAGGGACTCTTTGCCAGCATTACACCAGTGTCCACTGGAAAAGAGGCGCCCACTAAAACTGAGCCCAGCACAACGACTGCAACAGTTAAAACCACTGACTCTTTGGCTGTGCCAACAATAGCGACCGTAACTTCGACCGCCCCACTAGCTGCTCCGGCAGCCGCGGCAACAGCTACGACATCCCCCGCAACAGCTACGACATCCCCCACAGCAGCTTTGGCCGCTCCCGTATCGGCTACAACTGCCTCTGCTACTCCAGTTCCGGGAAGCACCTTCTCCTTCTCGAATGCCTTTAGTAGCCTGAGTGCAGGAACCACATCTTCGCCAAACTTGTCTGCCAACAGTTCCACAACAACCACAACGAGCAACACCTCTACTTCAGTCTTTGGTGGTGGTTTTGCAACAGCCACAACAGTAACAGCCGGCAGTCCCTTCCAGGCTGCGGCGATGGCAACAAGCAATGCTCCTGCTACCACACCGGCAACCGGAACGTCTCCCGCACCCACTGCTAATATCTTTGGCAATGTGCCTAAGCCAGAGGTAAGCGTTTTTGGAACTACTCCGGCTGCTGCGGCGTCTATGCCACCAACGGGTCTCTTTGCCTCGGCGGCCATCAGCAATCCGGCGCCATTTGGTAGTACTTCAACTGGAGCAGCTGCTTCCGGCGGCAACATCTTTGGCCAGGCCCTAAAACCGAGTGGCTTTGGCCAAGCGGCACCCGCCGCCGCTGCTGGGGGTGGTGGTGGCTCCATTTTTGGCGGAACAGCCAATTCATCATTTGGTTCCAGCTCCATTTTCGGCGGCAGTAATCCACAGAGTCCGGTGAATGCACCCGCTCCCGGAGCAGGTACTTCGATCTTTGGTCAAAGTGTCTTTGGCCAATCGTCGCAGGCATCAGCTCCGTCATCTGGTGGCAATTTATTCTCCAATGCGGTTGGCTCACCGCAGCAGCCTCAAGCATCTGCCTTTGGCGGCGGCAGTGGTGGCTCTATCTTTGGCACACCGGCCCCATCGACAGGATCGGTTGCATCGGGCGGATCGATCTTTGGTGGCGGCAACACCACCGGCGGCGGTGGCTTTGGCTCCTTCTCGCAGTCATCACCGGCCACGGGGGGCTTTGGATTTGGCCAAGGCGGTGCCGCTGGTTCAGTGGCCCAGTCGGGCTTTGGATCACCGCAATCTCCGCCGCAGCAGCCGGCGGCTCCAGGTAGATTTGGAGCCAAGCCTGTGTTTGGCGGATCGACGGCCTTTGGAGCAGGTCCCACATTTGGCGGTGCACCCACTTTTGGCAGTCCTAAAGGATTTGGTGGCTTTGGCGGCGGAGGCGCTAATTCTGTGGCCTCGCCGCCCGCATTCGGAGCAGCGCCGAAGCCGACCGAGGGCAATATCTTTGAGACACTCGGTGGCCAGGAATCGAGTCTGTCCTTTGGAAATCTAGCCCAGACGGGAAATTCGAATGCGCAGAAACCGGCTTTTGGAGGGTAAGTAGCATATTTCCCCTAACTCTACCGCTTACAGACATCTCCCCCTGTCATTCCAGATCCAGCTTTATGAACTACCGTTGAGCTAATGACATTGTTGTGTGAAATTCCTTACATTTGTTTGTCCAGTTCTATGGTTAAATAAGTTTACTTAAAAATTATATTACATTTTAAAATTGAATTAAACTATTAAGAAAAATTCAAAGATTGTTTTTTTTAATTCACTAAATCATATTATACCGGTTCATTTCATAATTTTTCAACAAAACTTCGTGTTTTTTTTCGTAATGATTATAAACTAACTCAGTCCATTAAATAAAATTTGGCATGGCAAAGTTTATATACTGTTAATAAAATAAAATTTCGAAAAATTTTAGACTTTTTCAAAAAAAAGATGAGGCTCTAGATTAGTGATAATCGATTTCCGATTCGATCCAATTTAGTTAGAAAATATTAGAATTGGAATATTGGAATTCGATTATCACTAATCCAACGTCTTAGAATTTAGTTAGATAATATTGGATCGAATCGGAAATTGATTATCACTAATCTAACGCCTTATCTTTTTTTGAAAAAGTCTGCAATTCTTTGAAATTGTATTTTTCAACCGGACATGGCAAGATCAACTCAGTTTTTGATGCTGATCAATAATATACATATATGATTTATGAGGTCGGAAATGACTTCTTCACAGCGTTACATGTTTCCGACTGAAATTCTAATACCCTGCAAGGCTATGAAGAATTTATGTAAGCTGAGCAAGTGTTCATTAGACTTTAAATATATTCTCAGCAAATTGTGCTGATAAGCGGCTGTAGTACATAATTCGCATTCTTGTGCTGATTAATTCAGTTATTTTCATTAGTCCATACGATGAAGATGTTCTTGTGGACGATTTTGATCTCCGTGCTCATGATCTATAGGAGCACTGGTCGAATGCTGGAGGAAAATTGCGGATCATCTTTAGTAAGATCAAAGGTAGTGAATGGCCAAAATGCTGAAAGGGAAGCGGCCTCTTGGATGGCAGCCATACGTAATACAGAACGTTTTATATGCGGCGGAACTGTGATCCACAGGAGTAAGTATTTAAAAAAATTCTTGTTTTATTTAAATAACAATTTGATTGTTTATGCAGACTTTGTGTTGACCGCAGCTCATTGTATTGAGGGTCAAAGCAACTTGTGAGTATGCTAAAAGCATTCTTTTTCTTTTAAACATGTATAATAACTACCCCCTTGGCAGATTCGTGATGTTGGGAGCATATAATAAATCGAACCCAGCTCAAGAGTACAGCGTTAGCCTGGCGGTGATCCATAATGGATTCAGCATCATTACCTTGCAAAACGATATTGGCCTGCTTAAAACATCACAGGATATTCAGTTTGGTTGTGAGTATTAACTTGTTGAGCACCACCCCTTGTTCTCTTATTTAGTTTCCTCTCCGCAGTTGATGTCTATCCGATCTGCATTATTCTGCATCCCATGATGAAGAGCAGAGTGGACAGCATGGAGACATTCGAGGGCTATGGTTGGGGAAATACAAAGAGGAACCAAAAAAGCGAACTCCTTCAGCAAATCACGCTACAACGCTATAATCGCAGTTGGTGCAACCGGTACCTTCGCAATAATCCACTCACCTCGAACCAGCTCTGTGCCGGATCGTGGAATGGAGATACGTGCCAGGGTGATTCCGGTGGTCCTCTGACAAAAAAGATCCCTATTAACGGACAAGAAATACAGGTACAGGTGGCGATTGTAAGCTTTGGCAAATTAATGTGCGATGGAGAGGGAATCTACACCGATGTCTCGAGCTATGCTAACTGGATTTTACGGACTGTTAGGGAACATCAGTATACCACTAATCCTTCGAACCCAGGACATTCTCCGAATCGTCCGCCCTCTGGATTTGCTATGAATACTCCTCCGTTCAGATACGCTAGCAATCCTCATTCGTTAGGATACCCCAGGAATCCTCCTTCGTCCGGATACGCCGCTACTCCTTCGATGCAACAAATTCCAACTTCCGAACGGTCAATGTATTTGTACGACGAATGCGGTAGCGACGATACATCAATCAACTTGCTGGTTAAAATCTTTGGAACAGAATTCGAGGGAAAAGGCGTGATGATCACAGACCGTATGTCATTGAAAACATATCAATGATAGCTTTATGATTATATTTTTATTATAATTTCCAGGCTATGTACTTACAAATGCGAAAGACTTGCCCTCAAATGCGGGCTCCTTGTAAGTTTGTGTGTTTTTAACGATTTTGTATAGACCGTAATATTTTTGTTTATAGGGAGGTCTTAATAATTGCACATAATTTTTTTGATGAATTGAGAGTCGAATCAATTATTAAGCATCCAGACATTTCAGGCCATTTTAACAATGATATAGCCTTGCTTAAGCTGACCAATCCGGTCTTGCTGTCAGGTAAGTTTTTCCACCTTTTCTTTAATAATTAATGACTACCACTAATGGAGATAACCCTTACAGGCAAAATGAAACCAATATGTATGCTCCTGAACCGTGGACACCGGCCTCAAACCACACGCCCTCCAATATTTACTATGTTCGACCACAAGATCTCTGGTGGCATTCCATTGGAGATTCATGCTGTCGATTCAAGTGAGTGTGCAACCAAAATCAATTATGAAATAAAACAGGATCAACTGTGCATCGAAGAGCCTAAAACGACGCAGAAATATGGCCGTACTGGCGACATATTGGGGATATCAGCACCATGTGAGGGCACGGACTGCAACATTCTATTCGGAATCGTGAGTTATTCATCAAATGGCCTTGTCATACTCACAAAGGTCATGAAATACACGAATTGGATTGCTAGCATAATAAGGAATGATTAAAGTCATAAAATTTAGGCATAAAGCAGCTACACCAGAAAACCAAGTCAAAACCCTTAGACACACAAATGGTTGCATTTGGCGTATATAATGTCCTTAAGTTTATTTATACGTACTTAATGCGAATATTTAATTTGATTAAATACAGTGACTATGTTTCTTTGCAAATTTAAAGTAAGACAATGCGAAAACATTTTGAATGCACGTACCTAATTGAAGTTGTGATTTGTGTTGCTGATTAATTTCTTTTTTGTTTTGTAGTCTATGCAAAATATTTACAATTCACTAAGTTGTTGAATCATGTGTTGTTGTGCGTTTTGTGGTGTAAAGCTGGCGCACCTGGAAAAAGTCACCGGGAAGGCCTTCGACACTGCATTCCCGAGCTGCTTTATGGCAAAATCGAAACTGAGGGGAGGGAAAAATGAAGAGCACAGAAGGAAGGAAAAGTGCATAGAGACGGGTATCAACTTTTAGAACTTGGAATAAAAAATATACACTTTTAGCTTAAAAGATATGGGTGATTATACGAAAGTATGAAAAAAATAAATTTATATATTATGTTTAACTGCTTTCCAAGTCAGAAATGAAGTCAAACTCGAGACGGACGGACAACGAACGGACGGAGTACAGATGATAGAACTTAAAATGAACTTTAAATAAACAGATTTTGTGCTTTAATGCTTTGGATCCTTGTTGTAATCCACGTAGACGCGCACAACCTCGCCGGAGTACTTGCGCTGCGAGGGCATAAAGTAGAAGTCGGGCGTATCGGAGCCGCCGTTCTGGCGCGGATCATCCCGCGACCGATCGTAGCCAGAGTCACGATCTCGATCCTGACGATGGCGACGCTCTTCTTCGCGCTCACGCTCTCGCTCCCTGTCGCGGCTGCCCTGCCTAGCGGCCCGCCTGTCGTGGGTATAATAGCCCGATGGCTGCATGCTGGCCGGACTCTGTTGGTAATGATGCGCCTGCCGGGGCAGCGAGTAAGCTCGCTCCGCGTACGAGCTGCGCGAGTAGGGTGCTCCTCCGGCGCTGCTCTCCTGGGTGACGGCGGCGGAACGTCCGTTGGAGCGACTGCCATTGCCGTTGCCGCTACCCTTGCCCTGGCCCTGGCCATTGGGACTCTCGTAATACATCTGGGACTTGCTTGTGGGCGAATGGGACATGGGCAGCGTGGTCTGTTGACTGCTGGTGGTGGACTGATGGCGATGACGGGCCTTCTCCTTGGTCGTTGTGCTGTTAGTCATGTGCTTCTCCTCTGTTTCGCCGTAGGGGTCAAAAGCGTAGTTCGTGTTCGAGGCAAACTCCTTCCAGGGTGAGTTCTGGATAAGTTTCTCCTGCAATCAAACAAGAGTTTTGGCATGAGATCAAGGCGAAATACCTTTTGGACTCTATTTTAAGGTGCGCTCAACCAGTCAGCATTTGGTGGGTGTGTCTTTAAAGTGTTCGGATTTCACCAAATACTATGCAGATCGATCATGTACTGTGTACAACTGCTCTGGAAATGTGTCTTGTGCCCGCGTTTAAGCCGAATCACTTTATATTCCTAACCAAGTTAAGATGCCAGGATAGTCCAGTCACAGTAAGAAGTCTATTAATAGTTGGGATAGAGTAAGGAAGGGTTGAAGAGCCCTACTCCCAGGGTTCGTATTGCCCAGTAGTATCGAGAGGGATTAGCATATAGCAAATGCTGACTGGCCAAGAGAACCCGATCACACAAATTAAACGAAAAATGCGAATATGGAATATGGAATTAGGACGCACTGGAAAAAGCATAGGAAGAGATTGTTAAAGAGACAGGCAGAGAGTAGAAAAGAAGAGGAGAAGAACAGGGATCACCGACAGAGTGGCGAGGTGGGTGAGTTTGCATTTATTATTTATTTTTTTGGTTTATTTTTTATGTTAGGTGACGAAGTGTTAATACAACAAACAGAAACCACAAGAAAATATAGAGTTTTGAATTACCCATTTAGTTATAGAATTTTGATAAACGCACGCGGCACACAGGCAGATACAGATACAGATTCAGATACAGTACATAATCAAGAGGTTTCCGGCAATATTAAACTAACTAAATGATGGCTTCAAAATTAAATTGTAAATGCGCCTAAGGCAGCTGTAGCTGTTGCTCGCGTTTCAGGTGGATCGGGCAGTGGGATTTTCTATATAGTAAGTATATCTGATCTATAGATCGCTAGAGGGCTGATAGTAGCGCTGGTGCTGTCGCTGTTGGTACATGCGCCACTCTTCGGGTATCACGTAAACCAGCTTTGAACGACACAGGGTAATATATAAGGGTTAAATTTATTAAGTAAGGAATGAAACAGGCCACGTCAGCACAGAGAAATAGTGATACTAATGCACATGTATAACAATTGAGATTAATTTTTCAGTTACTTGGGTTTTCTAAGAAATGATAATATAATTGTCACATTCAGATTAATGCTCTGAAGAAGCATGAGGAAGACGTTATCAGTACCATTTCCATGGAATTTCAGCAAAAATACCTATATTGATAAGTATTTTAATTGCAAACAATATTCTTTTCATGGTAGCAAATACCACTTTTGAGATTGTTATTGCATTTATTGTGATAAGAAAAAACAATATTGTAATACAATTCCTCTGTGCATGTCGACCTACTGTTGACCCACTAGATGCTGTAAGGAGCTTACTCACCTTGGTGTTCTTGCTCTTGCGCGACGTCTTCCAAATGGTGCAGAAGGCTTGGATCAGGGCGATGAGTACCAGAGCGGCAATCAGACCCAAAACGATGTATAGTCGCGTCTCGGAGAGATCGAAAAAGGAAAGGAGTGTCTCCTTGGCATTCGGTTCCGAGGAGCTCTTGTCTGCAAAAACAATTAACAATTGATAAGTTTAAAAGTGAGTAAGGAGTACTTTCATTACTCAAACTGAGACTTACATTCCAATGCCTCAAAGTCCAAATACTGTGGATCCACTGTAAGTGAACCTACACGACCGGTGGCAATCTGATCCTTCAGGGCTGACCTAATCGCATCGGCGTTCTTTTGAGCAGCTTCCTCGCCGGTTTTCTCCACCGCATTGCTCTCCAGGCTGTGCTTCTTCTCCACATCCGCCTTATCGAACATGGCCTGAACCTTGGCCACCATCGTACTGCCCTCTCTGGATATGGGTAAAAGTATAATTTCAAGATTTTTGAAGATATCTTTTGCTTTATACGTACTTTTCAAAGCCCAAAATCTCCGTCTTGTAATAACCCGCCAGAGAACTTAGAAAGCCATTAAAAGAGTCTGAAATGGTGGCTGCCAAATTGTTGAACTCCACGGTTCCGGGCTTGGGAGCTTCATAGGATTCGCCCAAGTTCATGAGTTTAACGCCCACAGTGTACACAAGACGACTGGGAGCCGGAGTGCTTGTTCCCACGAAAACGGCCTCCAATTCTAAGGTAAGAAATCAAAACATTTACATCTTACTCTTTATAGCATTCAGGTCACCTCTCACCTTTGCCACACGACTTGATGCAGACACGTTGCGAGGATACGCTAGGTACTTGCTCGTGCTTGCGTATCTTCTTGTTCACCACATTGAAGGCACCGCCTAAAACCGGGAAGAACAGGTACAGGCAGTGATCGTCCGTGAAGGACAGGTCCTGCTCATCGTTGCTAACCCGCTTGCGATTGAACTCGAGAATGGTCACGCCCTTTTCAATGCGACCAGATGCGTTGTATATGTCTTGTCGGTCATCCAGCTTTGGTGGAGCATAGCCCAGCACCCAGGTGTCCATAAGGAAGGGTCTGCCGTTGCGTTTATCCACCCAACCGATGATGGAGTCCGTCTGCGACATTCTCTGGTCATTGCTGAAGCCAATGCCGGTCCATGTCTCCGTGTTCGAAGTTTCGATGTGCCAACGCATCTCATCGCCCTTGCCGACCGTCTCCCAGCTGGCATAGTACTCGCAGGTGTGCTCCTGAGGAGAGCAATTCGACGGATATTTCCAGTGCCCATAGCAATCATTATCCAGGACATTGGTGCTTAAATCATTACGATCGGTGCTTGTGGATGCCTTGTCTTTCTCTATTGGTGAAGAAAGAAGAGTTTAGAATTGGGAAATACTAGATTTAAACCGATTTTTAACTCACCAAAGAAGTTAATCTGGGTAACTCCGCGCTGCATTTGGTGTCCATGGTACTTCAGTTCATCTGGCTGATAGAAATCCTTGACAGTTGAGGTCTCCGTCTCCAGTCCGGAGGCTGGGACATGCACATAGCTGCCCGGCTCCTGGCCCTTGGCCCAGATAACATGGGTCAGGGCATCATCCAGAGTGTGATCGGTGGGCTCATTCGCCACCAGTTTCTTCCGGAAGATAATAGTGGTTACACCATTCTCCTCGAAACCCGTGCCCAAGGCCAGATTGGATTTCCCACCGTAGAATTCATCGCTGCGCGGAGTTGAGCGATCACGGGTGTAGTAATCTCCTACCCGGCTGGCCAATCCGCGAGCTGATCCGATCACGATGTCCGTGCAGTCCATCGGGTTGAAGTCATGGCGTGGTGTGTACGCATTCAGACGGTACTTTGGCGTTTCTGTGAATAATTAAGGGTTTCATTAATAAATGGTATTGGCTTCTGGTATATGAGCCTCACCTGTGTCCGCTTCACGGCGCTGTCGATCTGATTTGGTGCTGACCCGGTATGAGACGCTGTGGGACACTGAGGTAACACCCTCCTGAGCGAAATTTCCGGCTACCCTCTTGGACTTGCTACTCTGCGCGTCTGGCTCGCTCTTCGGCTCCGGCTCCGGCTCGCTCTTGGGCTCGGGCTTACTTGTGGCTTCCGGTTCGCTCGTGGGTTCCGGTGTGCTGTTTGGCTCTGGTTCGCTCTTGGGTTCCGGTTCGCTCTTGGGTTCCGGCTCGCTCTTGGTTTCCGGTTCGCTCTTGGGTTCCGGTTCACTCTTGGGTTTCGGTTCACTCTTGGGCTCCGGCTCACTCTTCGGTTCAGGTTCGCTCTTGGGTTCCGGTTCGCTCTTGGGCTCTGGTTCACTCTTGGGCTCTGGTTCACTTTTAGGTTCCGGTTCGCTCTTGGGCTCCGGCTCACTCTTGGGCTCTGGCTCGCTCTTGGGCTCTGGTTCGCTCTTGGGCTCTGGTTCGCTCTTGGGTTCCGGTTCGCTCTTCGGTTCTGGAGCGGCCTTCAGCTCGGCTAAGCGCTTTGGCTCTGGCTCACTCTTAGGCTCTGGTTCGCTCTTGGGTTCCGGTTCGCTCTTGGGTTCCGGCTCACTCTTGGGTTCCGGTTCGCTCTTGGGTTCCGGCTCACTCTTGGGTTCCGGTTCGCTCTTGGGTTCCGGTTCAGTTTTGGGCTCTGGCTCACTCTTCGGTTCGGGTTCGCTCTTGGGTTCCGGTTCGCTTTTGGGTTCCGGCTCACTCTTGGGCTCCGGTTCGCTCTTGGGCTCCGGTTCGCTCTTGGGTTCCGGTGCCGAACTCTGCTCCACTGTAGTAGTCAAGTCTCCAATGTCCCTGACCAATGGGAAGTTCTTGCACTCCGGCGTCAGACCGCGCGGCCTCCAGCCCAAGCCCACCCAAGAGGTACCGTTGACCCTGAGCACCACCTCGATCTCCTTCTGCTCCTCGAGGAGTCGCCAGTAGATATGATAATCGGGCGAGAGCTCCTTTTTGGCGTACGAGGAGAGGTCGAGGTCGGTGGTCTTGTAGGGCGATCGCTTATTGCATCCAATTCCGAACCATCCAAAGTTGCAGTAGCACTGCCTCCGCGGCAGCGACGTTCCACCCAAATCCACGCACTTGCCCTGGACACCGCAGTCAGCGTCTGCAGAGCACTCGTCCTTGTACTGGCACTGCGGGCCATAGAAGTTCTTGTCGCACTTGCAGCGCGATGTGAAGTACTTGCCGTTGCCGGAGCAGGTCTCCTTAAAGTCCTTGCGCTTCTTGATGTCCACATCCGCGCAGGACCAGAAGCGATAGCTATTGGACCATTCGTCCGCCTGCCGGAGCAGCCGCAAAGTGCAGTTGAAGCACTCAAAGTCTCTGCTGATGCTCACTTGGTATGACTGCGCCCTATGAATGGAAAGAAAGGAGTTTTAGATTATTAGTTTTACAGAAAATATAGTATAGCAATGGATGATGGGGTTTTAAGTGAGAGTTGTTAACTTACGTGACATCTGTTCGCACAAATTCGGAATTATTCACATGGGGCGTGAGGTCCAAAACAGGCCGATCAAGGGCATCCAATAGTTGCAACCGAAAGCCGCCCTGGAAAAGTTACGATTATGATTATGGTTATGGTTGATCCGAAACAATGACTGAGAACTTGTGACACGATGTCGTGCATCCACAAACATGGGAATCTCCGATCTCGAATCTTGGATCTTGGATCTCGGGGCCTGACTTTGACTCCGTGCATGTGAGGCAATCGCTCGAGAATGGCATGGATATACCCTAAGATTCTCGACTAATTAGCCCCCTAGGCGATAAGAAACACAAAGGGGCGTGTTGTGCTCCCATTGCATCAGCATAGAGATTTGATCCAATCCACTTACCTTGTGTGGATAGGCCAAATGCCAGGTGACGTTGAACGGCATGCCGGAGAGCAGCGTGGTGCGTATGGAGCCTGCAATGGAGAATGGAGTGGAGAAAATTAGAGCGTGATCAGTGAGCCGGTGATTACGTGTGACAGTCACCGTCGAGGGCCATCTATTTGCCCATCTCTAGCCGCATAATTAAATCCACTCCCCCTTGGAGTTGGACTGGTTCTGCATTGCAAGGCAACGAGTGCACCTGCATCATAACCCCACCTACCTCTCCCAGAAAATTGCACATGACAACGGAGGAGCTGGGATCCAACAGATAAATGTATATATCATATATGTATATGCCTACCGGTGCCAAGACCCAGCCCCAACATTTCTGGTGAACCTGCCCAGGCAAATTTCATACCCGTCTGTTGCATAAGATCAATGCGGTAATCTTCGCTGAATGCCGAAGCTGACCAGCTGTGAAAAACTTACAACCTGAATGGGCTCAATGGTTGGAGGGACAGAGTGTGGCAGACGCAGGTGCACGGAAAACAATTTCCCAATGTACAAGAGGAAATTGTTATGAGGGCTTATTGTAAACACAACCATCTATATTTCCACAGATTATATAGCTAAATTGAGATGAGAATTCAATGATATTTTAAGACCTGGGTTTGTACGTTTCCTGGGTTTGTATTGTTATGAATTTGAAAACAGTTCATTGAAAAAATTGGTACACTTTCCGAACCACTGAACCTTAAAACCCCAGGAGAATTATGCGGTTTTGTGGATAAAACTGAGTTAGTTTCTCTCACTGTGATGTTAGAGCTGGTGAAGAACGGCAGTGGCTATCAATGCCCAGCTCGCACATCGTTGGCAGCCAATAGTCGCCGAACGAGTCGCTAATTGAGGCCATTAAACGTTTATAGCGATCTCCGAAAGCGAAAGGAGGAGTGTCACTTTCCCGATGTCTCCGCGCACTTGTCTTGGGCAAATAAGGAAGCTGAAAATTATGATTACTGCTGCTGTGGCTGCCGCTGGCACGAGATCGCACCACAGTTAGCCAAAGTCTGGGAACAACATACTATATATACAATATGTATAAAAACCAGTGACCATTGGCCACTTGAATCACTCGATGGCCGCTCAATGGTCGTCGTGCAGCAGCCAGTTGGTCATCCCAATATGGTCATGAACTGACAGTCTAAGCGATGGACATGACGCCAAGTTGTTTTGGATACACCACCACCAATGGGGTATATCATTCAATCGATGGAGCAGCTCTTAAAGTGGAATCTCTACCGCTGGCAGGGTATTCTGCGGTCAGAGATACTACTACTTCAACTCTTTGGTTAAATGCCGCTGCAGCTGCAATGTCCATTTGTGGGTCACCGGCTACTCGGGAGTTCTTTTGTGCGGAAAACTCTTGATTTCTATTGCGCAACCATTGCAGAATCGGTGGTGGCTTCGCTCAGCTGGAAATGAACAGAGCTTCCCCCTGTCGGTTCCCTGGCTTTCTGGGCCACTGGAAAATGCAAATCAGATTGAATCAAATCGAATGCGGATCAGGGCATTCTTAACATTTCATTGCACCTGACAGCCCCACAAAAACGAGACACACACAGAGACCTCACACAGCTATGCCTTTGGCTTCCCATGGCTTTGTTTTGACTCGAGAGCAAAAAAAGCCGCCAAACCAGATCGAGAAATGGGTTAAGCGACTATCGGTGGATAAATCAAGTGTTCCCATTAATAAATCGAATTTTACCCATACAAATTATGCGGCCCGAAAAGGGGCGGCACCTGTGTATCCGAATCTGAATCGCATCTGAATCCATGCACCAAATCAGCAGGTGTTTTCTCGGTCGAGTATTTCACTTGGCTTTACATTTTTCACGTTTCTCATGGTGTCCGGTCGGCCGATCGGTTCGGAATTGTCTGGTTTTATATTTTATGCGCCGTTTTTTTGTTTTTGTTCGTGTTTAGCTGCTCCACTCCGTCATATTTCCCATGAGCGAGCAAAACCCGCGAAAGTTGTTCACCTTTGCGTTTTGTTTTTGGAGGCTGCTGTAATTTGTACCTGTATCTGTGCCGCCGGTGGTTGAGCTTGAACTCACCGGCATCGTCTGGCCATTTCGAAAGTCCGTTCCGATCCCGCTCGACTCAGCTCTTCTCTGCCAGATTCAAATCGGGGTTGGGGGCCGCCTCTTCGGCGGCAAAGATGCGCGTGAAATCGGTTTATAATTGATTGGAAACCTAACTAATTTGATCGTAAGTTGAATTCCATAGATCGAGGCGGGGAGGAGCTCAACCAAAAAATGTGTTGATTGAATTTAGATCCCGAGGTTACCCAAAGGCGGTGGAATTTCAAAGAAGCCATCTTCTTTCTTCTATTTCTTAGCCATGAAATACCAAAAATACTTTGTAGGAATTGTAATTAATTAAGATTATTTAAGTAATTTATGTAAAAGGAAAGAAAAACTCTATTACTTAGGTATTTTAGACTAATCCTTTGTCTGAATCTCCGCTATTAAAAACTGTAGGAAAATGGGGAAAACACATCACTTTGGACATGGCTGAAAGACCCTGGGCAGACACTCTCTTAATGGATGGCATTACATCATCCTCGGTTCTCCTCCAATCTCTCCCCTGAAACCCCCTTTGGGCAATTTACTTGTTGATAGAAGAATGTTCGCTTGCATGCATTCTAATTGCACGAGCCACCCAACTAAACAACAGAATATAAAGGAAAAAAACGGTAGCCAAATATAGTAGACGACGCCTCTCACGTAGCCGTAAACAAAGACTTCCGCAATACTTGCAATGCACTTGAAAAAAAACTTTACTCTTACTTTAAGCTGATATTTACTATTACTTGAATTCACAACCATAAACATTGGACTTTACTTTATTGTCTGTCTGTACAGACACTACATACGAATATTTATTATTTAAAGAAAAGAGTTAGTTAGTTTATTTTGTGCAATATTTTGTTATTTTTTAAATAAATGAACTGCATTTTCTATGTACAGACTGACAGAGAGAGTTGACAAATACACTTCCCGGCCGGCGGTCTAACGAAGCGTTGCACATGCGCCGTGGAGGGCAATAAATTTCAGCATTTCATGCCGACAAGACATAGGGAGCAAGGTGAGTAACGAAGGGGGAGGCCAGCATAAGTAACGTGCCATAAAATTAATTTCGCTTTGGCAACCCTACAGTCCGCCACAAGTTGCAAGTTGCAAGTTGCCACCGTTCGACACTGGGGCTGTGCCTGCCATTGCCGCAAATTAACCTGACCAAGTGGTTAACATCTTGCCAGCTTTGGCAGCTCTCGATATTTGCCAGACTTTGGTGGCAATGCACAGAGGGAAATTATTAAAACTAAAACTACTAAATACCATCTTAAAGATATCTTCAGTATAGTTTCTTTAAATTTATTACGTTCATTCTACTTTTCCCTCAGTGTGCTGCATTTGCATTCCCTCCTAACCTGTTGTTGTTGCTACTGGCCCCGGCTGCTGTGGTCAAGGAGTTTCGCTTAAGTTAATTGCTCGTGACGTTGTCTTGGCCAGCCGCCCCCTAGGGGGCCTCCAACTGAACGAACCAAAACCCAACCCAGTCCAAGTCCATTCCTTGCCAGGCTAGGCCAGACCAATCCAATCCAAGCCAAGCCAATCCATGCCAATCCAATCCGATCCGATCCACTGCTCCACACTTCGCTCCAACAGTAGCTTTTGTGCAGCCTGGCTTTGGTATTTATGGCTGGGATGCAGATACATTTCCATAGCGTCATGTGCATATTCTGTGCTGGATATTTATGCATTCCCCGACTGCATTACGTATACGTAGCGTGGTCCGTGTGCGCAAGCGGCTTAAATGTCATTTGTGGCCCGGCGCTCTCATTGATATTCTAAATGGCTCACATAAAGCGACATTTTTGCTTGCAGGATTTGCCATGGGGATCTTGGATTGAAATATGAGTTTGGCTAACCAGTGTGTTACCCCGGTGATAAATGACTCTGACTTTGCTTTTGTCGCGATGATAAATCTTCGGTTATTGATATTGAATGTTGCTCAAGTTGCTATTGCGGCTGACTAATTGACATTTGCATTGAGCCTCTGATTGCTCTTCTAATTATCGAAACCGATGTTTTGTCAACCCCACAAATGGATTGCCCAACCGGCTGGCATCTGGCATCTCTTGACGCTCGACTGGTGACACAAGAGGCGACCACAACTTGACCTCCATTCCAGTGTGCTCAACAGACAATTACAAGTCGCGTCTTTGTGGCCATAAACAAAAAACAAAAAACAAAAAACAAAAAAAAAATCCAGCGACACGAAAACAAAGCCAAATCAAAACAAATCGTGTGCAGCAGACACAGCGACAAGAGTCTAGAGTTGGAAAGAGTGTCAAACACGAACAAATTGAGATGGATTAGAGGAGGAACTCGAGGTTGGGGCAGCCACAATGCAAACAAGCTGCAAGATGCTGTGCAGAGGTCAGCAGTCACTCAACCCAATGCCCCATCCTCTGTCCCAGTGAACCACTTGCAGTGGATAGAAAGGGCAGCCGCATCGCAGCAGCCACAAAACACATTTAGCTGTCACTGTCCGATGCAGATAGAGATGCATCTCAGCTCACCCGCAGATACAGACAGAGGAGGGGATAAAGGAAAGGGTTTTCCACATTTTGTTTTGAATACTTGAAGGAATGAAATATTGAAATTGCTGGCTGTTTTCCCATCTTAGTTTATCATTTATTTGTTATGCCTCTAAATTCCCCTAGAAACAACATCTTCTTTTTATTAATTTCCATCACGTCCCTGGATAAAGTTGTTAACATTTTCATCATGCCGTAATCTCGCATGGTGGCCAGTAATATATCGCTTTTGCCGCCCGATCTCCGCCCGCCAATCAACACGCTCTGCCCCCCGGGGCAACTTCTGTGTGCCGTAATGCACAAGTGAAAGTTTTTTCACTTGCAGCATGTTGCATTCCACTTTGCCTCTCGTCGGCGCATACATCATCATCAAGGAGACCAGTGAGCCGCTGCAGCAGAAATACACTCCAAAAAGTATAATTTAAAATAACTCTAGAAACGATATCGAAACCTTTAAATATCAAAGAACAACTAAAAATTAAACAAATAATTTTTGAATAAAAATATAAAACTCTCTTTAAATATGAAAAATATAAAACAAGGGAAGAAACTAACTGCTGGAAGCCGAAGTTTATATACCCTTGCAGTTTTTTTGCGCATAACTAAGCTAAAAATATTCGCATTCTGGGAATTGATGTTTATGGATTTATATGTACATTTTTTTCGACAAATCCAAGTTTATAAAACTGGAAAGTTTTTCCTATGTTAGTTAATTTTATGTTAATAAATCTGCACACATTATATTAAATAAAAAAAATTTAAATTGTTGACAATTTTTTGAAAATTTTACAAAAGTTTCAAAAAAACTAAACATTTGTTTTTCTTCAAAATATATCTAGATCGACTCGACTGTTAACGCTGATCAATTATATTTATAATTTATAGGGTCGGAAATGACTCCTTCACGCTTTAACAAGCTTCGGACTAAAATAGTAATACCCTTTGGAAGGCTTTAACAAATATTTTTATTAAGTAAAAGAAACGCTATATTTTTTAGAGTGCATCACCTCTGTTGCAGTGGCAACTTGCTTGGCCAACTCAATACGCGTTTGGCAGGCTGCGGCAAAAGTAGTCATGCCCCAAAATGGGTTAAACGTGCCACCGGCCAGGCTGCGCTCCATGTTGCGTATACGCAATGTGTTCGCATATGTGTGTGTTTATATAAATATAATTAAAAAGGCAAAGGCAAAACAATGCGAAATGAAACTGCAAACGAAATTGAAATTGAAAATGAAAAGAAATAAAAATATGGGCAAAAGTGCCGCGCACAAAAATGTCGCTCAACGGGTTGTACACACACATTATTCGATACTTTAAAGGCATATACTATAAACTTATATCGATGAAAATTGATTTGGCATTTTGATGCGGCACACGTGTGTGATCAGGTAACGAGTTACCAGTTGCCTGTTGCCAATTACCAACCGTCTCAAGGCAATCGTTGCCTATAATTGATATGCAAACAGTATCGATGGGACTGGAGAAAAAAACCCTTGTAAGCTCCCCCATCCAAAATCAAATGTCAAAATATTTTCGAGAGCCGCCGGAAAGGTGTGATTTTAATTTATTTTCGAAAGTGCATTTTAACCCAAAGAGCCACCAAAGTGAATATCATAATCATAATACTCATAGTTTCGGTGACCCAATTTTTTATTTTATTTTGTTTTTTCTTTTCGATTGGGATCCACTCGCATTCATTTTGTTGTTATTTTTTATTTTTTAATGTATGTACACACGCACACCTGCCGGCGAGCAAGTGAATGGCGGCTCGCTCGCGATATGCAAATTAATTGGTAACACTTTTCAGCCACAGCAACAACAAACATTGAGCAAGATGTGCCACACATAATAACAATAACAACGAGGCATAAGCATAAGCATATGCATATTATGCAAGCGAGTGCAAAAGCAAAAGTTTTTCAGCTGCACAGTGCACGTCTTAAAATTATGAATACATTTAGCCAACAGCATTGCATGTGCGTTTCATTGCTGTAAAGCCATTAGCAGGCACTCGTGAATGACACAAATCGATCGAATTTCCATGGTTTCAAGGTTTCTATTCATTATTTACAGATACAGTGGAAGTGGATTGAGTTTAGTTGAAATTATTAAAGACTAGAAAGGTTATTTCTTGTTTTTGAAAAATACAAATTTCATAGAATTTCTTAATAACTTCCCTAACTTGTAATCATACTTCGAATTTTAAGCGCGGAAAGAACTTTGAGTTTAATTAGCTTCTGAATTCTTTAACAATAATTCTCTTATTAAGTGTAATTTGGTATCTCAATTTTCAAGTAGCACATCAGGTAATGAATTATTTAATATTTATCTATAATCTCTGCTTTCGAAACGCACTGTACCTTGGCCAGTGCATGTGTGAATTGAACGTGCTTTAGCAATTACAGGCGGGCAAACAAAGCGCACATAACTAGCCAAACCATTATAATAAGCCATAATATTATAATCGAAGCGTGCCATGGCAGAGGAGCTGAATAAACCAACTTTGAGTTGGCCAACAATTGGCAATTGGGAAATGCATTTCCACTGGAGCTGGGCCAACTATTTGCTCCTGTTCCAGCAGCTGCACTTCCCACGAATGGCATTAAAAGGAAAACTGTGTCAGTGATAGGGAAATGTTTTTATACACAACAAAAAATCTATAAAATATATGTATGTATTTTAAATATATTTGATAAAGTTTTAAATAAAGAAACACTGAATGAATGAAGACAAAATTCCCAAGTCTCCAAAGAAAATCAAATAACAACAACTTTTATTTAATTACCACCTTGTGGGTTATTTTAAAAATGTGCTAAACTTTAAATCATGATTTTTCGTTTTGTTGAAAAGGAATTTGTGTATTATTGTTTAAGGAAATTATCAAGTTATTAAAGTAAGAAAATAAACCAAATACCAATGCTTGAAATTAATACAAAATATCTTCTGACTATTGTAAAACATTGAAAGAAATATTTCACATTAGTTTACAATTAAATTAAATTTACAATCCCATCAAAAACTCTCCTTCTTTAAATTTCTGTCTGTGCAAATATTTCCCCTAAAATCGAGGTCAATCTCTAACTAACCAGATTCCCAGAGACAGAAATACAAGAAGCACTCACCTTTGGGCATGCCACATGGCGCCTTCGTTCGCGAGTTGTCCAGAAAGTCCAGATCGTATTTGCGGGCAGGTGGATAGGTGAGGGCCACGTGGGCCTCCGTTCCAAAGTTTCCGAGGGAGCAGCACCAGACGGCAACCAGCAGCAGCAGGGAGCTCGAAGCGAATCCAAATCCGAAGCCATATCGGAATGGCGAATGTCTTGTATTATTTATAGACATTTTGTACGTTTATAATTTATTTCTTTACAATTTCTGGCGATTGTCGGGGAGTTTCTTTTCGCATTAGCACCGCGTATCGTATCTATTCAAAGGCCTCCTCCTCTCTTTTGTTCAATTGATTTTAACGGGGATTTTGGCGGTGTTTTTTGTTGGAAATTATATAATTAATTTCGTTACAACAAATTGGCCGCACATTGCTGAAAGAAGGTAATTTATAGAAACATTTATTAGGCGAGAATTGCATAATTTTTTTTCGGGGGATGGTAGGTGGTGAATATCTGGCAGATGGATCTGTGAAAATGATTTATTGCATTGGCCAAACAATGACAAGGAAATTTCCCACTCTACCATTAGTAGAGTTTCTTTTGCAGCTGAAAATTTTTTCAAAAAGTGTCGAAAGATTCGTTTCTCTTTTATAATTTTAGTTATTTTTCTCTTGCGGATTTTCATCAGTGTGACAGGCAGATACCATACTTCGATGACTATCCTCCGAGCTGCTGAGCTGCGTGTGAAGCGCGGTTCAATGCTCGATCGGGATTACTATATGGTATGTATATATGTACATATACGAGTGTCTATACAACGCCTTCGCAGAGTGAAATCGAAGGTCTTGCCGCGTTCAACAAACTAATCAAAGCCAATGACAGCTGCCCCCTCTCGACTTCTAAGCAGCTAAAACTTCAACTTTTGAGACACTTAGATACACAGAACCAAAAATGATGTATTCTTAAAGCCTATAAATACATTTTAAAGCTGTCAGATCAAGGAAAGATACATATTTCTATTCTTATCATTATATCAAAATGAATCAGAAAAAGCAATTAAGGAAGCTTACTTTGATTACCCTCATTATTTATATCATAACTTTTTCTCCCTCTGTATTTGAGCACTTAGACCAAAGTCCAAACAGCAACAAAAAAATACTTGTCTAATAAAACGACATAAATCAGAGGGTAGCCAAGCTACCTGCTCTTGGATTTTTTATAGCCCCCGGAGACTAAGTCTAAATGACAACAAATGGCGTTGAAATGGGCGTAAAAATGTGGCCCGAAAGCGACCGAATTGTTTTGATATGGAAAATGGTGCCACACAGTTTTGACTAGCAAATTGCATGCTGCATGAAATCTATGTTTTCTTGCCCCAAAGATAAATCAACGACAATTGGTGTTAGTTGGTTGATTGGCGAAAATCTCGAGAATGGGAACGGCCACTCCACTGCTCCACTTCTCCCAGTGACATCTCACTACGGTCGAGATCGTGGTCGAGTCGCGGTAATCACCGAGTCATTGTCCAATGCCAGACCCCCAGAAATAACTAGATTTATATATAAATAAGATATATATAAACATTTTTATAAGCCATAACGGTGGCACCAACGACTTCCGAGGCAGCTGCTGCTGCTGCAGTGGGTGACCGCCTCGTTTGGTTTTGATTACTCCGTCGCCGTCGCTGACCAGCAACTGTCTGGCATTGGGAGCAGAGCAACAGTAGCAACAATGGTAACAACATCAGCAACATCGACTGTGACGACCACATGGCTTGACATTGAAGTCGCCATCGCCATCGCCATCGCCATCGCCATAGCCATAGCCATCGTCAAAGCCAAAGCCAAAGCTAAAACCGAAGCAAAACAAAATCGAAAAGCATGTAAAAAATGTTAATTAAGACGAGGCAAAAAGCACACACAAATGAAGTGGCATAAAACAAGTATCTGGAGCAGTCTCCGTGAACTGGGTTAGAACCACCTATAACTTGAAAATTGGTTACTTTTTACCAACAAGTTGATACAACAAATAAGTTGATTTGGAGTTTGGATACAGCCAAAGATAATATTTAAATTAATCGAACAAAATAAAGCTTTTACATTAATTTTATTCATTGATTCAAAAAGAAAAGAAATTTCTAAACTAAATTCTTTCAGTTTCCAAACAAACTTGTTAAAGTTTCTATAAGTTTTTTAAAGCATCTTAAAGATACTTAAGATTTTCATCTTAAAATTAACTTCAACTACACTTGTAAAAAAAGTCGTAATATCCAACTGAAAGTGATCCCATTTTATGTGCAATCAAAAAGCCCACATTTGGTGGGCGAAAAACAAGGCAAAGTAAACTAATGGTGCTCAGCTGGAGACGCAACTGGGAAACTGCGGGCTCTGGAGACCATTCTTCGAATAAGCCAACTGTCTATTCAGTCTACTACAGTCTTAGCCATCATGAGTTGGCCAAACCGAATGTGCGGTTCATTACCCAACTGACTAAGGGAAAATAGTTTAGAGACAGCTTTAGAGCCAGGCGGCTTAGGAGCTTAGGAGACAGCTAAGAGAGCCGGTGCTCAGGTGAGCAATTACTTTAATTGAATTGACTCTCGAGTGCTTTGCATTTCCACTAATTAGAACCGAGATGTAATTAACCAACTGACAGAGAGCCAAAGCGAAACCGTTTCAGATGCGATTCACACGCAATTAAATTAAAGTCCTCCAACTTGATTCGAGTTGCCTGAAAAGAACACTTGACTCGGTTCCTACGACATATCGATTATAGCTGCGGACATAAACATTTGGCCACGCTCATACTCATGTTCGATTCACGCTGCGGACTGGACTGGGAGTCGAGTGGAGTGGAGTGGAGTGGAGTCGACTCGAGAGTGGAGGGAAAAAATGCAGTCCAACTGGTTACGAAATATTCGAAAAGCTCATTCATGTTGGGCCTCAGATACGACGATTTTCAAAATACGCGACGACAACGATGGCGACTTCTTTGTGTGAGTGGAGATACTCTGGGCACCGGATAACCGGTTAGTGGTTCCAAAACAAAAATATATATAGTCAACTATTAATGGATCGGCGATAGATCGATAAAGCGGCAGCGGAGCAAGTGTATCTCGCCTCTGGCCGCTCCCAAAAAGCCCCCGAAATTAGAGCCAAATTCATAGGAACAGGCGCTGGCATACTCTTGACCAAAAAGAAATACTTGTACTTTGCTGGAATTATGCGCGCGCGCTCCATTTTCGGTCCAACCAAATTAGAGAATAACATGGCAGCCACCAAAAAGCACGGCAAGATAAGTACAAAATTGTTAAGTAAAAGAGCTGAAATTGATTTTAAATGGATGCGAGTTGACCATTGGCGATTGTGTAACCTTTTAGCGGCTAAAAGAGAGAGAGGGGGGAAATTGCAGAGACTTTGGGAGACTTTAACAAATTGAAAACAAATCCTTAATAAATAAATAAATTGCAATTTCTTCCTGCTAAATAATGGGAAATCTGTAATCTTTTAGTGATTTAGCTTAGCTAAAGAGGAGCAAGAAAATTATAGAGATAAAGCAAGACTAAGTATGAGGGAAAAATGGAAGAAAAACAATAAAGTTAAATGATCTATCAGTAAAATTACTTAACTCAGAAGTTATATAAAGATGAACAAGACCTTAATTATAAGATATTATTTCCATTTAATTATAAGTAAAGATGTAAGTGAAGCCATTAATCGTAATCGGAAACCAATTTAGTTTAATTAGTTGACGAGAAAACATTTTTATAGTCAATTAACCTTAAAAAGGTATTCGTAAATGTAACTTTGAACTAGTTTCATGTACGAATATTTCCAGAGTTTCAATTAACTTAAGTTTTCAACAAATTCAATTAAAAAAGCCATTTGTTTTCTATTTAAATAGGGGCTCAGCAGAACTAACACTTGAGGGCTTATTTAACATTTCCTTTAGTTTAGAAACATGTTCTTAAAATTTAAGAAATATTTGCCATTCTTATTGTTCAATAAAAAAGAAATCATATAGAAATTGATTAGCAGTTAGCACGGCACACTAACTTTCTAATCGGGCCTTTTTGATGGACTTTTACGTCGCACCACCCGGCGTATGTGTGGTTTTTGGCCAGAGGCTGTTAACGGTCCATACCAATGGCCACTTGATTCGAGTGAAGCACACACAGATCTGAATGCTGTGTGAGTTGTGTGGTGCGAAAATCATCTCGTCATGATGGTTATACGAGTGCTGCCGCTGCTGCTGTTTATGCCGTTCAACTTAAACATTTCGTTTGGATTTCTATTTGAGCAAAATTTCTCAACTCTAATGTCACGCACCACGAATCCGCCACCGAACTTGGAGCCGGGGAATTGCCATCGTCGTCGTCGATAATATGTGATTGACAAACATGTGTGCCAAGTTGGCTCATTACAATTACCACCACGGTGCACAGAGGAAAAAGAAATTCGTTAAGTGCGGGATATTGAAACCTATTTTAATAGGGAACTAACAGCGATAAGAGGGTCTGTTGTAAGCCTTAAATGTGTTGTAATGGGGACTTCCTGTACAAAAGAATTGCAATACGATTGAAATTTGTATTGTTTATAGTTTAAAATATTTATAAAAATTGCTTTCCAAACTTAACTTTTTAAATTTGATCCATTTTCTTATCATTTCCAACCCATTTATTTAAAATTAATTCCTCTGATTCTGTCTGACAAAAGGAGACTGGAAATAGCGACTGTTAAAAGACAGCTCCCGCCTGTGGCTAGTGCTAATGATTGTTAATCAATTCCATTGGTGGAGTCCACATAGCGATGACATCTTCGGTTCGCAGTGAAAGTTGTCCCCGGTCCGTTGAGCCCAAGTGTTTTTCATCGATTTGTGTTTATTTTCTATTTCACCTTCGATTTCGACTCGGAATGCAACTGAGGAAAAGTAAACAGACCGTCACTTTCGATGGTTTTCTATCAATTATGAAAATTGAGCTATCACTGAGTTGACAAATTATTCCATATTTGGAAGTATCTCTCACTCTAGCCCCCACACTTCCGATCTGTACTAATTTCCGATTTTGATTAGCATAATGGCAGCGTGTAAGCCCGTCGAACTGGTGCAGCCAGTTTGAGCTTCGCTTTCGGCATAAGTATGTATGTATTTCTGAAATTAAATTAATTCGATGCTGCCCAACTTTCACAAGAACGAGCTACACGGGTTTCGCGGGCTTGGGTCGCCCATGCCGGGGTCAGGGTGAATCCAAGGGTTAAAGCCTCGTCTACAAACAAGCGTTTATTTGCCATCGCTTTATGGTTGTTAAACTTGATCTCTAAACTGGCGAGAGCCACCCAGAGTAAGTACTTGTAAGCTTTGTCTATAAGATCGCATTTCAAGCTGTTGTCGAGATTAAATGATGGCCGTTTCGGCTGAGTGGGCTTTAGGTATTAGAAGGCAGACAGGTTAAGAGGTGCTCGATTTGTAGTTGTTTTGTATTTTTCTTAAACCAACATTTTAGTTACCCTAAAAACAGATCGTTAATGGTTAAACCATAAAAATATCGTGTTGAACTTGATATTAAATGTATAAAATGTCTTATGAATATGCATTTAACGTTATAAATATTCAACAATTCCCTCTTTTTTTATATATATATATATATTTGGAAAATTATTAAACTGATATCTTGTTGTTTCGAATAATTTGCGAATATAAATTCAGGGTATAGCATTTATCGCAATAGTCATAATCACGTTTACAACGTTACTTTGGCCATATAAATGGATTTTATCGAGACGTAAATCGTATTTATTTATAAACATTAAATCATTCGAGAGATGTGAATTCTCTTTGTGCCAACTCATCTTGTCGATAGCAATGACAATCTCAGTCGCATCCACCTGTTAATTTATTAATGAGTTGCAGAAACCTGTCCGCCACCTTTACATACATAAATGCCCGTAAATAATATTTACTAATTTCGTCCATAAATGATTTTTAAGTAAAACTTTCGCGTCAAATTTCTGAATCGCTGAATAATTTTTGGACTGAGGCAGACTCTGTGGGGTTCTGTGTCAGCGAAGGAGCCATTTCCGGCCATTTAAGGTATATATATTCTTGATCAGCATCAACAGATGTCGATATAGCCAAGTCCATCTGTCCGTCTGTGAGTGTAAGCCTGTAAATTTAATATGTATAGGTGAAAGAAAGCATTACACCCCCGCTTCCCCTCTCCCTCTCTCTCTCTCTCTCTCTCTCTCTCTCTCTCTCTCTATAACGCTTACTCTCGGTATGTCCATCCTTGCTTTGTTTATCTGTAGTGATAGCTCTCTATCTCTCTCTCCCTTTCTCTCGAGATAGCTCTGCCTCCCGGCCTCCCACATTCTCTGTTCTCTTTACCCGCACACTATAAATACAGGCAGTGCCTCTCCCTCTGACCTCATTCTGTGCGTGGCCTTCCCAGTGTTAACATCGGTAGTGATAGTGATAATGAATGCACTTCGACCCCAAAAGTATCATCCGACCAATGCGATACATCTGGATAATCGGGAACAGACAAATGGATGTCTTCAACAATATAACACTACACTGGAAGGAAGTTAACAATGACGTGTCTTCTACTGCGGTATGTCTTAACAATGACAATTTTATCATGTATACATACATACAAACATATATAGATGCTATAGCTGTGATCAGGCCAATGATCAGCCATGCTTGCTATTCATTTAGTTTCCAATTACTCCCCTTATTGCCATGGCTCCCGTAACAAAATTTTAATTCAAAGTGATACAGCAATTTATATAAGGGATATCTACATATGTACGTATTCTCTCAAGTTAACAGCCTAACTTATATATAAATTATACAAATTAACTTCTTATCTTTACTATTGTTTTACAACTGACACTGACTTTGGCGCTAACTTTTGCTATATTATTATGTCATTGCAGGGTATCATAATTTAGGTCAGAAGCTTGCAATGCAGAGAAGGAGTAATTTCCGGCCCTATAAAGCATATATATTCTTGATCAGTATCAACAGCCGAGTGTATCTAGCTATGTCCGGTTAAAAAAAAAACATTTTGAAATTTGTTCGTTTTTTGAAAATTTTATAACATTATTAACATCGTTAAAATTCTCAAATTTTGACCAAAAATTTTGATTTTCTTAATTTTAAATTTAATATGCATATTTGTAATATGTAGATTTACAGAGAAAACTAATTCGAATTTAAATTAATGCATTTTTTACATATTTATGATGTTTTTAAACACTTTGGTTTACCCCAAAAATGAGCATACAAAACTATCGATTTAATATAGTTTTGATTGATTTCTTTTCATCCACATGATCACCCATGATCCTATTGGCAACTGTAAGGGTATTCCCACTTGGGATTCTCGAAGTAAGCTACCTTTATTGTTTATAAATATATATATATTTTTTGGGAGCAATTGGCTAGCGATTAACATAAAAATCTAAGGTCAGTTCGCGGACGTTTTACGCATTCCAAGCCGTGGCAATTGATTGCTGTGCGTCCGATGTTTGTCTGGTTTGTTTGATTTTGTTACGGTCTTTTGCGTAATCCGATGTGCGATTATGGCCATTTACACGGGCTGCCTACAAACACGCGGCATTGAAAACGCAGCACGCGGCTCAAATGTTAAAATACTTGGGCTCGATACAAAAGACTTAGGCAACGAACGCGCAGCATCTCGGCAGCATTGGGGAGTGTATATGTGGTCAGCGTAAACAAAATAATAAAAAATTCAACTAACTGCCATTATAAATAATTTGGCAAATGAATGCGAAATATTTCGTTATAAAACTGACAGTATAACCGAAATATTATTCAGGTTTCTGAGCCGAACAAGTGCACGGATTACAAATTGGTTTTCGGTTCGACTTTGACGGTTCAAATTACTTCTGAAGAGTCAAGATGCGCTTCAAGGTTCCCCCACCTGTGCTGTACATATGTATATAGATATATATATATATATATATATATATTTCTATATACTGCCAACCAGTTTGTTTAGCCAAGTGCCAGGTCCCCCGCCTGCCTTCGACGACCATTAGACAAACCTGCCCGACGACGACAACGGATCAGATTCTGATTCTCGTTTCGTTTGCCCTCGCACATTCTCACTTTTTGTTTTTAGTTTTCTTTAGTTGTGTTTTGTTTTCGTTTGGCTTTTTGTTTTAAGCTGTTATTTTTTGGGGCTTATTGGCATTTTTTTTGTTGTTTATTGGGCGCTGGAATTTGCTGCGTGTAAGTATGTTAATAATGGAGCTTTATATGAGCGGCAGTAAATACTTTTATAATGCCCCTAAAAATGATATGGGCGAGAATCTGCGTGGTGTGGGTAGCCACAGCAACGTGCACCACACACACTCATGTGTGTTAGATGTTAGACTTGGATGTGGATGTGGATGTGGATGTGGTGGTGGATGCCATCCGGTTTTGGCCTTTGCAGCTGCCAATGCTGCTCGGCTGCATTCCGGGCATGACTAAGACCAAGACCAAGAGAGCCGCGAGTCGCGGGTGTTTTGTTATTACCCTCAAGGTCACTTCTGGCCCGGTCTCCATTACGCTGACGGTCTAATCTTGGCGTGACATGACGGTTTTGGTCAAATCGATTATACACAGCAAGAAATTTAATGGTTTTTAGAGAGGTTTTATATTGATAAAAACTGAAAGGATGCTTTGGGTTATAAAAAATATTTAAAAATAAAGAATTTCCTAGTAATTTCTAAACTTTTTAAGAAAATCAATTAAATTTAATAATTATCAATAGATTCCATTAAATTTTCTATGTACTCACACCTAGATCCTTGTCTCTAATAGTCTTAAGAGGTCAATCATTAGCCAGGCTCTTGGCTAAGCGGCTTATAAGGCAGAGGGACAAATGGCTAACAGTTATCGAGGTGATGAAAACAAAGGGGATTTAATTGGATTCCGCCGCTGGATAAGGTTGACTAATGAAAGCTAAAGAAGTCTTCGAAAAAACAGGTGACTCAGACTCAGCCGCAAGCTCAAGACATTTCTCTTTATTCGACCGTGATTAATGGACTTACAGAGCGTATACGCGATTTGGCAGTTTATTTTGCCATGTATTTTCGACCATTCTTGGTCGATTTAGCGGGTCTGGGCTTTTAGGAATGATCTCATCTGCCACAGAACTATAGAAAAGAATAGAATCTGGCGGCAGCAGCAGCAGCCCACATCGATCTCCGGAGAAACAATCCCAAAAGCAGCTGTCAGCTGCCAAACAGCAACGCCAAACGCTAATATGCAATAAATTATGCCTGGCACTGTGTGTGTTCGTATGAGTGAGTATATTTGTGTCTTTAATTACAAAAGGTTTCTTGCTGAATTTCACTTTTTTCCATCATCCGCCTTGGCATGTGCAGGGAATTTCAAAATAAGTGCCCATTTGCATTGGCAATTCAGTGGACATTCCTGTCTCTTTTTTGTTTTTTTACCCATCTTCCTGCATAAAATACACACTCGTGGACACACCCTCAAGGAGAATTGATGTACAGAGAACAATACTCAAGGACTTTTCCATATTTATTTATTATTTAGTCAGAAGCTTAAAACACAGTGAAGAAGTCTTGATCTTCTTCTTCTTCTTGGTATTCTTGATCAGAATCGAAAGCCGGATTGATCTAGCCACTACTAATTTTTTCGAAATTTCGTTAAAATTTTCAAAAATTTATAAAATTTTTAATTTCTTAAAAGGTTAAATTTTGTTTGGAGATTTATTAACCTAATAATAACTATTAAAGAACACCATTCCGATTTAAAATTAACGCTTTTTTTACTTATTAATGAAAGATATTCTGTTCGACAGTTTTACTATTCTTAAACCTTTTTGTTCAGTGCAGTGCAGTGCAGAGCAGAGACATTCCCTTAAATCCTGTCATGTGAAGCACTGGCAACCACAATTTCCTTGCAACTACCCCCTTATTTTTTTTAGACTTTTTGCATTGCAAGGAAGTGACATTCCAAGACAGCTCGCTCACCTGAGAAAGAAGAACGAACCGCAACGGCGGCGTCGAAGGCGGCGAATGCAAGAGTGACTGGAAGAGATGTGGGCGGCGATAAGTTACGAAAAACGCAAGCGCACTGGAAGATCCGAATCGGAATCCCAGAGCAAATCCAACTCCAGCTACGGAGCTAATCAAAAGTTACAACACGCACGCGCTCCGCTGGATTGGAGTGGGGAGCATTAACTGGAGGACAGGGCGCAGAAGATCGAGCGGCGGGGGAAGACTGAAGACCGAAGACCGAAAACCGACAACCAAAGACCACGACACACACGATCAAAGTCAAAACAATGCAGTCGCGGCACTTTTAACGTTCTCCGCTGATGATGATGCACACCGCGCAATTGCAATTGCAATAATGGAAGCGATTCCACCTCCAATTCGAATTCCAATTCCGATACTTTGCTCCCTGTTTGTGTGGGTGGGAGGTGATGTGTTAATCAATCAACCAACGAGCATCGAAGGTGCACTGTTTCTTACAATATTTTTTGAATATTTCTTATTGGTTGCTCTTCTATGGCTAAAATATATATTGGATTGATTGCAACGGCGGTACGTGACTGGCGCGCACTTGCACAACGACGACGGCAACGATCCGGGGGATCCACGCTCCGGCAGATCCGACGTTCGGACTCTGGCTCGTAACTCTGACGACACCGCAGGGCACACGGCAGGAAATGCAATGGGCGATATTCAAGAAGACCAAGACCTCGCGTCCGCACTTCCCGATCGAAACTGAAGATCGGAACGGGCTTGCAGGTGAGGCGATCCGAGCTCGAGATTCGAACTGAAAGGTAGTGTTGCCACCTGAGCCATTTTCTGGACTTGTTTTTCATCAGAGAGAGCTTTTGAGACGCGATTTGCAGGTGAGACGAGTTCTTGGCACTTTTTTTTATTTCGCTTTACAATACTGATGGTTTAAATATTTAAATAATATATTTAAAATTCTATATAAAATAAAATGCCTCTTGGAATGCAATGCTTTGTAAAATATTCAAAACATTGCTTTTAAATTCTTCTAGCTGAAAAAGCTTTCTTAGCAAACGTTTTTCTTGGATCTGGCAAAGCTGAAAGCGCGGCTTATGCCGCTTATTGCCAGCTCACAGAAAACTATTCTTTTATGTATATTCTACGAAGACTTTCTTCTCTAAGATTTAAAAGAATAAATTTCTAATTATTATCTTTTATTATCTTTAGGGAAGTCGAAGATTGTTACCCTTGCCTTAAATCGATTAAATCGATATTTAAATCATCATAACTAAGTCAAAAATGCATTAATTTCAATTTGGAAAACAATTCTGTGCTAGGTTTTATTACGTTAACAAATCTGCATATTGAGTTTAAAAATGTACAAAATTGATATTTTGGTTAAATTTTTACCTTTTTAACGATGTAACCCATTATAAAATTTCAAAAAGTTTGTGAAATTTTGTTTTCCTTCTAACGTGGCTAGATTGACCTGTCGATTCTGATCAAGAATATATATGACTTAAATGTTTGAAAATGACTCTTACACTAAATGGCACTCTTCTGAATAAAAATATAATAACCTGCTAAGGTTTACAAAAAATAGCACCGAAAATGAACAAAGTACTATATGTGAAATTGTTTACTTATATTATTTATAAACACTTCATTAAGGTACACATTTTCTGGAGTCAGAACATTTATTTTATTAAAGTCCCAAGAAGTTCTTCATTCTTAATTTTTCTTATGCTTTATTTTAATTATATTATAGTCCTACAACTATATCTTAAGTAAAACTCTCCCTTCTGTTCAACAGGATTCTTAATTGCCCCACACAATGCTCTCAATCCAGTCGGTAAAGAGGTGAACCTTGGTGTAGACACTTGGCAATCCCTGAGTTCCACACACCAAGCCGTAGGAAACGATGCCAATCAATTGCTTGAGACACGGATACAGTGGATGCTGCACGAAGATTGGTCCGCCGGAGTCTCCATTGCAGGTATCCTTTTCGCTGGTCATTGATCCAGCGCAGAACTGGGTGCGGGTCTCAATACCGAAGCGCAGTCGTTTCTGACACTCGTCGTCGCTGAATCGCTGTAGACTGACCTTCAGCAGGTGAGTGGACTTCACACCGTCCTCGGTGAAGCCCCAGCCAGCGGCAGTCACCTGCTGGTATTCGTTCCCGCTGCTTGGTGGCAGGCAAACCGCCGCCACGTAATCAGTAAACACAGCCTCCCGATCGAGTTCGATCACTGCAATGTCATTTTTAGAGCCGCGATCCTCGTTATCGTCATCATAGCCTGGATGTACCACATAGTTGACAACTCGAAAGTCCTGCACATTGGCATCATCAGTGGTAACGTTATAGTCCAGGTCACCCAGGCGAACCACAAACTTTGGTGAGTCGAAGTTGGGATCCAATCGTTGGGCCTTGTCCCTGGATTTGGAGTTATTTATTATTGCATGAACCTCTTAGGGCTACTTACTCGTCTGTCTCCAGGCAATGAGCCGCAGTCAGAACAAATTTGGGGTGCACTAGAGAGCCACCACAGTCCCAACTCACAGAGGACTTGTTAAGTCGTTTGCTTCCAATCAACGCCATAAAGGGGAACTCCCGACCAGATGCCTTTGTGCCGCCTACAATAAATGGAGTTGAGCGACAGGCTTCTCGGGCCGCATTATACTGCTTGCACTCTGATAACGTATTTAAATCTATTTATCAATAATGTTAACAATAAATACTGACAAACAGGCTTACGCTTCTCGAACGGCCTTGCCTCCTCCACAGGTTTAAGATTCTGGTGGTCCAGCGGTATGGGACAACAAACAATGTCGTTGAACTCATCGCAGAATTTCACGCTGTCTCCAATCAAATGCTGGTTGTAGAATATCACTGGACAGTCTGTGCCGCTTAGCTCCTTGCACTCGCCTGTTCCATTGTCGCAGTATTCGGCCATCACGCCGACTGCACCCAGTAGCACCACCATCCATCGAAATCCGTAGAGCACATACATTGCCGTAGGCTTTGTGTGCGAAACTGAGAGCATCAGTTGAGGCTGACCAGATCTACTAATACTGCTGCTACCTCAGGTAAGCAGCGATAAGCTTTAAGTTTAGGTTCTTACTGAGAATAACAAGGTACTCCGTTAGTGACTCACTGAGCTTTTGATTGAGGAAGTGAACAGGAATAAATTTAAGAACTCATAATCAATATGTTTAAAATTGAAAGTGTTTCTTTCTTTACTGTTTGCTTAAGTTATCTGAGAAAGTTTACACAGTACATGGAAATCGGACTTGGATACAATGATACAATAAATGCAAATAACCGTCACTTAACATGGAATAAAACTACATTTAAATTAAGCTTAAGGTATCTACGTCCGCTTGCACTTGGAAGGTCTATCTAGTTTAATTGTGACGCATGTTTTGCATATGTTGCTGTTGTTGCTGCTGTTGCTGTATGTGTTGGATGTACATTTGCTGCTGTTGGGGGTTGCCACCGCTGCCCAAAGGAACACTAGTGGTTTGCATAGCAGTCACCTGTTGTTGTTGTTGCTGCTGCTGCTGTTGTTGTTGCAGTGGGGATTGGTTTTGGCCTGATACTGCACTGTTTTCGGCACTAAATGACAAGGAAAATGATTTTGAGTGTTCAACTTATTCTCACCACACACTCTTACCTCTTTTCCGTGTGAATATCCTCCAAATTGAGATGTGTTATGAACCTTAGACGCTTTTGCAGCAGAGGACGCAGGCGTTTAATGATGGCCTCCGACTCGTTTTTGATAATGTTACCCACGTGAATGTACTTGATGTGATAGCTATAGGGGGTTGAAAAGGTGAAAAATGCATGGACAGCAAGCGCAATCCATTTACTCACAGGAAATCACATATCTGGTCTATGTAAATCAGTGGCTTTGGACCATGATGCTTGTCTACTATCTCCAGGATCTCGTAGAGCAAGACTGCTATGCCGGCCACCGCGTTTGGTTTCTCCAATTCAATCCGCTGAAGGAAGGGTCCAAACACATGACACAGATACAACAGCTGCTGTTCGGTGCGCACGCAGGGCTTCAGCTTCTCCTTGAGGTATCTGGTCATCGCCGCCAGCTTGAAAGCGCCCATGTGATGGAACACAGAGTGCGCCACGGCAAGGACAGTGGCATAGCTCTTCTCCAGCATACCCTCGCGCACCGTCTTAAAATTGAAAAGCTCAAAGGCATTGAATCTGTACGTCCAATTGAGCATATTGGGTGTGTTGAGCATATCCTGCAGCCGATCGTAGATGCCACTCCAGTAGGGCTCGGGCAGGGCGGCCAAAACGATGCCCACTGCATTGATGTAACTGTGGATCTCCTTTTGCGGAATCACCGCATAGCCGTTGATTATCACATCGATGAGATTTTTGGCCACCACACCAGGCGCCACCGGGAGACCCAGCAGCTCCACGCAGGTGACATAAAGCGCATGGGTTGGGGCATTTGGGTACTCATTAAAGCGCCAGTCCGTGGAGTATAAAACATTTTTTCCACTAATGGCTGAAAATTGCAACACAAGTTTTAAGCTGAAGCCACTACTTATCAGAGTTTAACTCACTGTCTGCCAAGCGTCGGATCAAGCTCATGTAGTAACTCAGTTCGGGTGCCCAGATCGTGTCTTGGAGCAGGTATGCTTTATACGGCTCACTAATGCTCCAGTTGGGAGGCCGAATCTCACTAAAGGCACCAGTTATTGTGTGTACCTGGAGCCATAATTAATTACAGAAAATATACATTTTAAAGAGATAAAGACTCCTACCAGTTTTTTTTTCAGTCCGGGTCGATCGCGTAGGATCCGCTCATAGTAGTGCAAAGTGTTAAAGAGATACGTAATGGGTCGATCTGAAGACGGATTATTGTGAATTTTAATTTCTTACATAAAATGTATCGTATACGCACCGTGAAACTTGTACAATATGCTTAGATGGTCCAGGATAAAGCCGAGAATCTGATGGACATTCGTAATGGTTAGCTCTATAAAGCGATGTACCACCACATCCAAAACGGGCAGAAAGCGTAAACACACATTGCTAAAGTAGACGGGCAGCGGAATATGCGATGCAGACTCGTCCAGAGCAAATTTCTCTGGGTACTTTTGGTGAAAGGAGAGATGCTTGTCTTGCCTACACACGAAAAAGTCAATCAAAACATAACTTTAGGTATGTAAGTCTTAACTAACTTACCAATTGCTTTGTTTCCAATGATCGGGATTGTTGTCCTTGCAGAACTCTTGGACGCGATTCCTCAGCTCGCTGGCCTTCAACAGCAGCAGCTGAATGATCAAAAAGCAGACTTGTGCCTCATTACCCTCATGCGTGCGTAGGGCCAGGCAGAGTACGACCCTATCGATGGTCACCACATTGAACTTCCAGATCATGTTGTTGATTGTATCTACACATTTGTGGATGAAGTCACGGCCATCTGACGAGCTGGCCACCTCGGCTATTAGATAATCGCAGAATTTACGCAGGTGCGTGGATAAAGCACGCGCACTAATACCTTCTAGGATCCTAGAAAAATGAATATAAATGTCAAGAACAATTATAATCGCATAGCTACCAACTTGTAAGCCACTGGACTGATGTTCTCCGTCTCCCAGATAATCTTGAAGAGTAGGCAAAGGAACAGCGGGTTCGTGGTTGGTCGCAAGAAGTGCGCAATGATGTCGTTCTCGTTGGTCATGGAGGTCCACGTGCGGTACTCCTCCTCCACAGACTTCTTTAGCTGCTGCTTGTTCTCCGGCGGCTGGTTGTTTTGCGTGAAGTACTCATTTAAGGCGGGCGGGAAGCATGCCAGGGAATGCATTGGCCACGAATGCGGCGTGTGCTGCATGATGTTAGAGAGAAAGTCCTTGCACCAGCCCTGCATCTCATCGCCGCCACCATGGACATGCATGGATCGAGCTAATGTGAGGATGAGCACTCGGTTTAGTTCCTCGCTTTCGTTGGACGCTACGGCGCCGGGTGACTTATCATTGAAATAGCGCGAGAACTGCGGCTGAAATTCGGCCGAACCAATGCTAGTGATCAGTCTCAGGGCCGTGGACTCAAAGCTGATAAAGGCATAGGAATATTAACTAAAGTTACTTATTCAGGAATCAAATCTAACTCACCAAAGATTCAGTTGCATTTTGTTGGTCTGCGGCACGGAGGAGAGCGAGTGGAGCAGGGATAGCAACTGCACTCTATAGTGGGTGGGGACATGGTGCAGGCGATATGAGAACATCTCCATCAGGGTGTGCAGCATGGACCAGGCATGGTTCTTAAACACCGTCGGCATCAGTTGACCTGCATTCAGGAAATTAAATTATTACTTGGCAAGTCAAAATTATATTTATTCTTATACTCACTCAAAAATCCTTTGATGCCAAGTGACTCGATTTCTGTGTAAACTAATAGCCTGGCATAGGTCTCCAAAAGCGCCGCCGCTGGCACTTGTCCCTTGGTCTGGGCCTGTTTAAGCATCTGCGTGACAAAGCTATGGATAAGCGACATTTTGCTGTGTACCGTCAGGCTATCCAGCACCGTAACCGAGAAGGTAACGGCTGGTATCTGGGAGCCATTCGGTGACTTCGAGGTCCCATTAAGGGCATCTAACAGCAAGCCCATCGGTCGGCCAAAATACTCCTGATTCGTAGAATATGCATTGCAGATGAGGATGATGCGGAAGTCGTTGCCCATAGTCATGTTCATCATGGTGTTGGGCGTGACCACATGCTGAAGGAAGCTACGAGGAAGAAAATCAATTATTACAACCTTAAATAGAACATGAAAATAGTTCTTACTCATAATGATTTTTAAGCGCAATGGGCAGCGGTCGTGTGATGTTCATGTTCTCCACTCGCGCCTTCTTCATCAGGTGGATCCATACACAAATGGGGGCCATGTGGCGGACCATCGAGGATTTGTTTATGTCAGGCAGCTTCAGTGGCTCCAGTTCGGGATAGAGAAGGTCAAATAACCGGAAGACGGGCAGGAAGTTTGTGATCTACAAAGGAAGGTCTTTAGAGAAATGTTTGTTCTGTGTAAAGTCATAAATATCCTACGGGGTTCTTCTGTATGCTGCCAGAGATGAACTGCAAGAGGATCCACATAAGTTGATCACGACCTTTGCGGAGCTCCAACTTTGAGAGCTGTAAAAGAGCCAACAATGTGAAGTTTATCTTGAAATGGAAATTAATTATAATATTATGAATTACCTTCTCGTGCAGCGCCAGAACTATATGCATAAAACTAACGAACTGGAAGAGCACAAAGTAGATCAACTGCGAGGAGAGATGGAGCCACACCCACTCATACGGTGTGATCTGCTCGTCTGAGGCATTGAAGCCACTGCCCGCAGTGGCATCGGTCGCCTCCGTCATCTCCATTGCCTGTACTATGAGGTTAACCAGCTGTTCTTCCAGGGCATTGTAGCGCTGCTTTTGATGCTTCTGCAGGTTAAGCATCTGGGAGACCATTTCACGCGAGTATGGCTGCTCTAGAACGTAGCGGAGCAAGGGCTTCTGCTCCTCCAGCAGCTCAGGCTCATACGGCAGGCTGCCCTTGAAGTTAAACTTTAGAGTGTTGTGGTCCAACCGCCACGAATTCATCATATGATCGGCGTAGCCGAAGTGCTCCACAATCGGCAGCATGCTGGGGTGACCGATGATAGATACCATTTGCGCTGTGGTACGAAACTCCTCAACGAAGTCGGTCATCAGCCTGTTAAGTTTCCAGTGGTAGGGAAATGGACGCATGATCTCGTTGGCAATAAAGTAGGCGGGCAGCAGACAGTTGTTCCGGTCGAAGATGAAACGCAGGATATCTTCCACGGCCAGCAGCTGGGGCATGTAGGTTACGTTGACGTTGAGCGGAAACCACTGTGCCTTGTCGCGGCACACCTTCATGATCTCACGCACGCCCTTATAGTCCACCTGCATTATAACCCGCTTGATCAGCCGGAAGCTCTCGATCCAGAAGTTCTTATGTTCAAAGTCCAGTTTCTCGCAGAACAGCACCTTGTCGCACAGCATCCTCGCGGTAATAACGTGCGAATCCACCAGCTTAACCAGCGCTGCCATCAGCACTTTCATGTGATAACCAGACGCTCCGGCGGCCCGCAGAAGGTACTGCCGCAGTACTTGGTCCCGGTTCTCTTGAGGCACATTGCCGAAGGCCGTGACTGAAAGGGGAGCCTCTTTTTAGCACTGCTAGAATTTCTCAGAGCCGGTTACATACCTAGATCATTGGCGAAGTTGGTGGCCCGTTCCTGCTCACCGTTTGGCTTGAAAACAATGACGCTCACAAACGCCTCGTCAATGGAGTCCACCTTCTGCAAAGAGTAAATCGGAGAGAGGGGGATAATCATCAGGTGGTTTTTCCCTTTTCAGGACCTTGGGTATTACCAAGAACTCGTTGACGGCGTCAAGAACTTGTGTTTCCGTATCCATTTAAACGTTTTTTCGCATTTTCGAGAGTGCATAAACAAAATCGCGTCTTTAGCCGGTGAGGAACAGTGTTACCAGTTCATTTTCGGTCAGAATCTTTAAGGACTTAGCTATAAAGTGGATAGAAGTAGCCAACAAAATTTAAAGAAATATTTTCAGGAAAATAATTTATAATTAAGAGTAATTTCATAAATATGGGTCATAATAATTAAATGTAGTTCAATTACAATGTTTTGCACTATAATACAATACGTTTTGCTTAGCAACAATATTTGGCAGTACAAACGTCAAGCGGTCAGCACTAATAAGAGCCGGCATATGCGGCAACTGGTCACACAAATTTTAGAACTAATAAAAACAAGTTGATTTATTTGTAAGACTTAATATAAAAACATGAAAGTACTAGTTACAGGTGGCACCGGCCTTGTGGGCAAAGCCTTGCAGACGGTGATCAAGAACCAGGGTCGACAGGAAGAGGAATGGTACTTTGCTGGCTCCAAGGACGCCGATTTAACGTGAGTAATTCGAAGCCACTGTCAAATCTTTGCAATAATCAAGTGTTTCGCACAGAAATCTAGCCGCCACGCAGGCACTCTTTGCCCGGGAGAAGCCCACGCATGTAATCCACCTGGCCGCCATGGTCGGAGGTCTGTTCCACAACATGAACAACAACCTGGACTTTTTGGTGAGCTTCTGGAATCGCTCACACCAAGAAGAGCCGAATTCAATCAAATTTCTTACAGCGCAACAATCTCCTAATCAATGACAACGTCCTGCAAACAGCCCACGAGCAGGGGTGCGTAAAGGTCGTATCCTGCCTGTCCACCTGCATTTTCCCGGACAAAACCACGTACCCCATAAGCGAGACAATGGTGCACAATGGGCCACCGCACCCCTCGAACTACGGGTACTCCTATGCTAAGCGATTGATAGACGTGCAAAACCACGCCTACCACGACAAATATGGACGGATGTACACCTCTGTGATTCCGTGCAACATTTTCGGGCCACACGACAACTACAAGCCCGAGGTTAGCCATGTTATTCCGGGCATGATCAACCGCATGCACCGCCTTATCACCGAGAATCCGGAGGTGCCAGAGATCGAAAAGGTATTCACGATATTCGGCAGCGGGATGCCACTGAGACAGTTCATCTACTCGCTGGACCTCGCCGAGCTTATGATCTGGGTGCTGAGAAGCTATGACAGCGTCGAGCCCATTATCCTCAGTGTGGACGAGTGCCAGGAGGTTACTATCTTCGAAGTGGCCAGCGCCATAGCTGAGGCATTTCACTTTAAGGTAAGCATCTTGCTATAATCTGGAAGATATGAGATACAATTACACCGTGTTTTTCAGGGAAAACTTGTCTGTGATACGACGAAGGCAGATGGCCAGTACAAAAAAACCGCATCCAATGCCAAGCTTCGTTCCCATCTGCCTGACTACCTTTTTACGGACTTCGAAATTGCCATCAAGGCGTCGGTGCAGTGGTACAAAGATAACTATAACGAAGCCAGAAAGTAATTCCAAATGACGGACTTTAGAAATGTAAATAGATCTCTTCTGTTCGCAACATAATTTTTTTACTCTGTTTTATGTCCAACAAATAACAAATACCTAATGTGAGAGCTCAGTCTGTCCAGGAGTCGCCGTATTTGTTCCTCTTACCGCCTGCAGCAGGATCCAAGGGTGCCGCCTGCACAGGACGCTGCTGTAGGGCAGTTGGTGGCTCGTATGGCTTTGAGTAGGGACTCTGCTGGTGCTTCAAATACTCCTCTCGATTTCTCCGACGCAAATCCTCGTACGACTGACCCGGCTTTGCCGGCTCCAATGGCAGTTCGGTATCCAGCATTGCAGCAGCTATTGAAGGAGATATGTATATCAGACACCTGAGGAAACAAAGTGATTCAATGATCTTACAGTCCAACGTGGGCCGGTAAATGTCGTCCAGACCCGACATTGTGGGCCGCGACTCTGTGTCTAGGTTGAGCGCAGTGCTTCGTCCCGGCTGATACGCCTCATCGCTGTACACATCGGCCGAGCTGGGCGTGAAGGGCGCCAGGGTAAAGGCCCTGCCCAGGTTCTCATCCGGCGTGATGGTGCTGATGACCCCGCCGCCCTGCCTCCGCTGCCGGAGCATCTCGCCCAACTGAGAGTTGGGTAGGCGCATGATCTTCTCAGCGCACTTTTGCTGGTAACTGAACTTGCCTACAAAATAGCCCAGGATGACACCCATTACGACCTTGGGCACGGCGCCATATTTGCCATTCCCCTGCAGATAGCCGTTCTTCACGCCAAAGTAGGCCAGGAGGCCGAGGCCAGTTCCGAAAGGCAGACTCCGCTGGAAGAACGACTCCGTATTGCACTCACGTAACGCCTTCACCTCCTCCGCGGTAAACTGGTAGTCGGCCTGAGGAGGAATTTATAGCTGAAGAAGGGATTTTGTGGCTCATCAGTACTCACCAGTGGATGGGGGGTGTGTTGCGGAGCCTGGCGGGACCCATCGTTCAACGGCGAGTCCATGCTGACTTAATTTATTTAAATATTTGTGAAATATAAAATAATCTACCGGCTAGACCCACTAGTTAGAGATGATACCAGATATCGATAGTTTCGATACGAAACTGGTGTGCACAAAATAAATCTACAACTAATTAAAATAAATATAAATTAAAACTAATGGTCTGTAAAGTATGATATTTATTTTAAAACAAGGCAACCTTGCACAGTATTGTTATTAAAATTTTTTAAATGTTTGCCTTTTAGTCCTATTTGACCGCAAAATGTGGGTAACGACTTGCATATATCTGCTTAAATTTACGTGACCGAATTATATTTTTATGGATGTATTGTGTGATAAATTTATTAAAGGTTTTGGAATAATTCAAATTCCCAATGGCTACAACAGTTAGTATCAATAATGAGATAAACTATCGGTAAACTAATATCGATGCCTCTATCGGCATGTTTGCAGCTCCATTAGAACATTACTTTAAATCGAACCCGTCGAAAATTTAATGAAAACAACGTCTCAATAATTGACGAAACGCAATAGCTTCTTCCTGAGACAAGTTAACACTTCCAGACATATAAATCAGTCAAAATTAACCGTAGCGGCGCCGCGAAGAACCGCCGACAATCGAAACCGAAGAGCGTGCAGCGGGCGGAGGACACGCACCACCAGCAACACCAGGGATGCAACACGCACGACGCGACGAGATTATGACATTTTCGCTGTATAGTAAAGTTACAGCTGTGTCGTCTGCTGGCCCCGTTCCTGCGCCTGTTGTTTTATTCAATTAGAGTTTTGTATTTTTGGAAATGTTCTCCACCACCACACACTCTGTGGTAAGTCCGAACGCCGGTCGCCCGGCCTTACATTCTGCCCCACCGCCTGACGTGTCTCATCTCTCCCGCTCTCTGTTTTTGTCTCGGCACCTGCCTGTTGTGATTTGGGAATTCGATGACAGCCCTACCTGTACCTAGGCAACTTCAGCAGAAAGCCGCACTACTACACCGTCAAGCGCACCAAGCTGCAGGGAAGCGCCAGTGCGGTGCGCCTTTCCAAGTCTGCCAGTGGCAGCACGCCATCGACTTCGACGACGACGGGCCTAAGTCATGACCTCGTGCAGGACCTGCGTAACCTGCTCGCCCAGTCGGGGGCCAGCTTGAAGGGCATGGTGGAGAAGGCTGCACGGCTGAATGGCATTCTGGACCGTGAGCTGGTGAACGAGACGCTTGCAAAGGTGACCAGCATGCTGCCCGCCATGCGCGACGTCCGCGTCACGCTGGAGGAGCCGGCCACACAAATCGGTCGTGTCCAGCTACAAAATTATCAGTTCGAAGTTTCGCTCACAGGAGCACCTGGTGCCCAGCCCACAGGCGCCCACGTGTAAGTGCATCCAGTTCCGAATATCAATACAAGATCCATCTTTTTATTTGTCATTGTCATTTGTCATTTCAGCAAAGTGATTCCAACCATAACGCCAGGTCTTCTTCGTCCGCTCTTCTCCAATCAACAGCTGTGAGTGAGCGAAACGAATCGACGAATTCTTCTCGCTAAGGTTCTAGTTCTTTTTTCCTAGGAAACAATTGCGGGGCTTCAAGACGGATCGCTCCATTGAGGCGGAACAAAAGCGCAATCCCACAATGACATCCAGGCTAAAGACAGCCTTGTCCAACGCGCCGCAACGAATCGACGGAGAGACGCATTTCCAAGCCGAAAAGCTGCGACGGCTGTTAGCCAAGTCCGACGATCATGGGGGTCAGAATGCGGTAAGCTGGGCGTTTGAATCCTACTGTTACTTGTGATAACTCTTTGTGTTCTAGGAGAACCTAAAGATAGCCTTTGCCGAGGGATATTTGGCAGCCGCCAACGCTGAGGATTCTCCGAAATCTGGGAAAACAATGAAGTATATAAAGGTGTGAGCGTGTTCCAAGAATTCATTTGTTTGACTTTTGGGTAATTCACAGTAATTGTCACTAAGGTTTTTCAGACTCTCGTCGTAATCGTCGTTTTTCTGGGCATATTCCTGAGCTTCTTCACCACCTCGAACGGATCTGTATTTCGGTGAGCCTCTTTTTGCTTCTCCTATGCTGCAGATCTAATTTTGCTATCCTCCAGCAGCATCCAGCTGGGCAACCAGGTAGAGGTAGATCCTGAGGAGATCAACGTCACATTCGAAGACGTTAAGGGCTGCGACGAGGCCAAGCAGGAACTGAAGGAGGTGGTCGAGTTCCTCAAGAACCCCGATAAGTTCTCCAACTTGGGTGGCAAGCTTCCAAAGGGCGTGCTTTTGGTAGGACCGCCGGGCACTGGAAAGACCCTACTGGCCCGTGCCGTGGCCGGTGAAGCCAAAGTTCCTTTCTTCCATGCCGCTGGCCCTGAATTCGACGAGGTCCTCGTTGGCCAGGGCGCCAGACGAGTGCGTGATTTGTTTAGTAAGTTAATAGCTATAACCAGAAAACCATTACTGAATTTTGATCTTATATTAAAGAGGCTGCCAAGGCCCGAGCACCGTGCGTAATCTTCATTGATGAAATCGATTCGGTGGGCGCAAAGCGAACCAATTCTGTGCTGCATCCGTATGCCAATCAAACCATTAATCAGCTACTTTCGGAGATGGACGGCTTCCACCAGAACGCTGGCGTTATTGTCCTGGGCGCCACCAACCGACGCGACGACTTGGATCAGGCTCTGTTGCGTCCCGGCCGCTTCGATGTGGAGGTGATGGTATCCACACCAGATTTCACCGGACGGAAGGAGATCCTTGGTCTCTACCTTACTAAAATTCTGCACGACGAAATCGATCTGGACATGCTAGCACGCGGCACATCCGGATTCACCGGAGCAGATCTGGAAAATATGATTAACCAGGCGGCGCTAAGGTGAGGAACGTCTTGTTGATGGAAAAATAGCGTTTTCTGATTTTCTATTTCTTGCAGAGCTGCCATTGACGGAGCCGAGACAGTGAACATGAAACACTTAGAGACGGCACGTGACAAGGTACTTATGGGGCCCGAGCGCAAGGCTCGCCTGCCGGACGAGGAGGCCAATACGATTACCGCTTACCATGAGGGCGGACATGCCATCGTGGCCTTTTATACCAAGGAGTCGCATCCGCTGCACAAGGTGACTATCATGCCGCGCGGACCCTCTTTGGGCCACACTGCCTACATACCGGAGAAGGAGCGTTACCATGTCACAAAGCAGCAGCTGCTGGCCATGATGGACACAATGATGGGCGGCCGTGCCGCCGAGGAGCTCATATTTGGGGCAGACAAGATCACATCGGGAGCCAGCAGCGATCTCAAGCAGGCCACCTCGATTGCCACGCACATGGTTAGAGACTGGGGGATGTCGGACAAGGTGGGTCTGAGGACCATTGAGGCGTCCAAGGGGCTGGGCACTGGCGACACCCTAGGACCCAATACCATTGAGGCCGTGGACGCGGAGATCAAGCGCATCCTCAGTGACAGCTACGAGCGAGCGAAGGCCATCCTGCGAAAACACACCAAGGGGCACAAGGCGCTAGCGGAGGCGCTGCTTAAGTATGAGACGCTGGATGCCGAAGACGTTAAGGCAATACTGAATGACAACCAGACGTAGTTCCCTCATCGGTGTGGATTGCAGGGTCAAGGGATACAGAGGGAGACCAGGACCTTCCATTGGACATTCAGCTGAACTGCTAATTATTTAGTTACAATATAAACAAATCGAGAATGAAAAGCCAAGCAAGAGCGGGACGCAGACGGAAAGTTAAGAAATAAAATGTTACACATATTTAGTTATGTTTTCCATCATCCACGTAGTATTAAATATTAGTTTGGAGTAATAAATGAAATTGAAGTCATATCCATTTGAATTCTGCGCTATTTGAAGTGTAAGTGTGACCAGCACACGACGTATCATATTTTAAAATAAGTTTAATCTACCGTGGGGAAAAATGATATATTTTAAACTGTAATCCAAGTATGTACAGTCAGGAAATAAAAACAAAAAAAAAAATTACTTAGTTGCGCAGCCGATAAATTTGAGTAAATTATTAAATATCTCTTAGTATGTTAACAAAGATCATTTTATAATAATGAAAATCAAATTTAGCTTAAAAAAACAAATTGCAAAATCTATCGAAATCAAAACATCGATGTATCGATATTATTGTGGGATGACCACCACTAATTTCCAATTCATGTTTTTTTCTACAAGTAAATTGAGAAAATAATCAAAGAAAATGTGCGACTACAAAATCTCGGATCGGGCCTACACCAAGTTGATATTCCACGCGGCCAAGTATCCCCACCTGGCGGTCAACGGGCTGCTGCTGTCGGAGAAGTCCTCAAAGGGGTCCGTGGTGGAAATCGTGGATGCGATTCCCCTGTTCCATCAATGTTTGCATGTCACCCCCATGGCCGAAGTAGCCCTAATGCAGGTAATTATCAATTGCCGGTCTCTGGAACATGCGTGAACTTTAATGCGGACGTTGCCCAGTTTTATGTGCATCTGGTTTTGTAGGTCCCCGGCCGGGTCTCCGGCCTTCCTGACCACCAGCTTCATGTGGGTACGAATTCCAAATATTAGAACAAACTAGGCATTTCATTTTAAATAAAGTGGAAAAGGGCTTCCGAGAAAGTATTTAATCTGCGAAAATATATAAGTTCAATCCTTAACCTCTGAAAACACATGACTTTATTAAATAAGTTGGTTTTATGTTGTCGGTTTAAAACAGAAATGATCTTGTTCAAGAATTAGACCAATTTCACTATATTTTTAATAGGATGACAGATTTTGTAATTTGTAAACCTTATATTTGTAGGTAAATATAAAATCCATAAATTAAATTAAAGCTCTTTATTTGACCTACATCAAGGAAGTACTTTGTACCCCACGTAGGTAATATATGAAACAGTATTGACTAGAATTGGGGTAAAATATCAATATTCTAAATAAATATTTTAACGAAATTCAATATTAAATAATAGTACCGTATCCCTTTTAGATAGATGCTTACGCCGAGCGCGAGGGTCTGATAATTGCTGGCTACTATGCTGCGCCAGAGAACTTTTACGACAATCAGGTTGACAAGACACCGGCGGCCAAGATAGCAGACAAAATTCAGGAGAACTTTAAGAACGCCTGCTTTGTGGTGGTGGACAACAAGTTAATGACCCTGCAGCACGACCGCGCTGCGATCCAGGTGTACAGCTGCGCTGGAGAGGCCACCACCCGCTGGACAAAGGCAAAGTTCACCCTGTCACAGTCATCGCAGACACTGGAGGGCGTATCGCTGCTGCTGAAGCGGGGTGCCATGCGTGATGTGGTGGATTTCGATAACCATCTGGACAATCCAGAGAATGATTGGACCAATGACTTCCTGAACAAGTCCTTGATAGACCTGCAGAAGCTGTACTAGTCGCAAGTTTTTAACGTACTTTTGTTTTAGTCTAGCAAAATCGCATTCGCGGAATGAAGGGAGAACACGCCGAAATTTCAACCTTGCAATTTAATTTATTGTAATTACAATTGGATTTTCAGTAATCTTTAGAATAATGCATATAAGTTAAATAACATTCAACTAATTAATAAATAATCAATTCTTTCATCTTGTATGCGTCGAAAGTGGTAGAGTGTCCGTGTCCGTGTCGGTCCGTTGGTTTAAGTAATATCTCATGTACGTCCCAGTTCGGTTCTGTGTTCGGTTCTGTTTTTTTGTGTGGAGTTAACCTAAGCGCGTTACATTTATCGTTAATAAATACAGATGAATATATAATATGTATATAATTTTGCTCTTGGTTTGTTTGTTATTTTCTTGTCGTCGGCTGGCTCCTTGTAAATTGAAATATTTTACAACAATATTGTAATTATCGCGATTGCTGATTATACATAGGTATACATAATACGTACTTATGTGGATATATCGGAGATCGAAAGTATCGCAAAAACGTTTATTAATTTCAGTGTAATGTATATTTTCGTATATATATAATCTGATCTCAACGCATAACGAACTCTTTACACCGTGTACACTGAACGTATATAGTAGGGGAACGGGACTATGGATAACGGATAGCGGATCTCGGATCCCCAACTAGATCCCATCTTGCGCACTTTACTCGTATTTGATTTGCCATTTATTGTATTTTTAATGCTTTTTGAGTTCTCTGTATATGGGGGAGTATATGCTTGTGTATAATATCGCGAGCTCTGACTTGGTTGGATTGTTTTCACCCGGTATCCGCTGGAAGGGTTGGGCAGGTGTGGGTGTTGTCGTGGACGTGGCATGGGGGAACGGGTACTCTGTTCTACGTGGGGGCGCCTTTTTGATTATATCCTAGCTATACAAGTGCGCCTGAACACGCAAGCATTGTCGGTATGTACGAGTTCGAGACTCTGTTCACATCGCGATGAATCTGGATTGGTGTGTCTTGTGTCCTGTCGTCACATCACATGCTATGTTAGTTGATCTATAAGAATGCAATAGAAGAGGCAATAATGGATCAGTGAAATGCGAAGATGCGACCATGTGGGAGTGAAGAACACCCATAACGGAAGATGTTATGCAATTTGGAAATAGTCAAGATAAGGTTATGATGTACGCATGTTTCGGATGAGCGTGTGCCACTACGGATATGTATGCCTTGTGTGTGTCTTTGCGGATCGGAATAAGGGGGTTTCTGTGTGTGCTGTGGATCGTATCTAGAGCTGACCACCTCCGATATTTACCATTCCCGCGGACAGAGAGTTGATGGCATCTTCCACCGTCGGCTTGTGTCGATCGATTTTAGATGAGTTTATGGGCGAGAAGTTGTCTACGATTGCAAGCGTGAACGAATACACATATACAGATAGATATAGAAACACAAAAAGCGATTTCAAAGCAAATCTCAAGTGCCAATTACCGAGATCACCACTCGAACTGGAGTCCGTAAAACTGGGTGTGCCCTCTGTCCATGTGGGAGTGGAGCCCTCACCTGAAGCGGGCGGTGTCCAGGCCAATCCCCCGCGTGATCCGTACTGGCTGCTCGATGACGTGTCCACTGCCAGCAGTGTGTCCAGATGAACCTCCGAGACGCTGTCAAATTAAAGTATTATTTTTATTTTTTTTTTTAATTATTAATTAATTATTTTTTATTTCAAATAATTGAAAAATGGTCTCACCTGACGATATCCTCTTTGTAGGAGCCTCGGTAGGCCGGTCCAATGTTCATCTTGCGGTCCAGATAATAGGACTGCTGCTGCATCTGCGACTGTGACTGCGACTGCTGGTGATGATGATGGTGATGGTGGTGAGACCGACGACCCATCGACGAGGTGCTGGTACTGTTCTTGTTCGAGCTGTCCTCGGAGATGTCGTCAAAGGCGGGGGGAGGAGTCGAGCTGCATGATGGCGTTGTGCCTAGCGATACAATGAATAGAGCAAAACATACAGCGGAATGAGTGACAGAAGAACCCTAATAGTAGAATCTTAGATTAGGATGTGTGTATGTTTTTAGTTTGGGGTAAGCTAGGTGCTAGCGAGGAGCTACTCCCGTCTCAGTCCTTGTCCCTGTCCCGTCGAACCCTCGCTCTCTGGTATCGTGGATGGAGCTGCCTTTGGCGCCCGTCTCTTTCCACGCCTGACCTGCTGTGGCGGAGTATAACATGGCAACGTTGCGGCCGGTGGAGGATCCATTAGCTTGGGCAGCGGTCTCTTTGGGCGATGTGTCGCCTCCAGCTCCCGCTTTACCTCTAGGAACGCACTAACCGACTGCAGCAGGTTATCCTCCTCCTGCTGATTCTGACAGTCATCGCCACCCAGCGCCAGATCCGCATAGTGTAGGTAGCGATTCCTCTTCTGCTGCCGCTTCATCTTCTCCTGAACTCCACGCCTAGGCGAACGCTGGCTGGGAATACTACCCGAGGATCGAGAACGCCCGGTACGATAGCTCTCCGCTCGTATGGGCGGAAAAGTCCGAACTATGGAGCCTACGGAGGATCTCTCGCTGCGAGCCACGAAGCTGTTCTGCCGGTGGAATATATCCACGTGGTTGAGCAATCTCGGCTGCTGGCGTCGATAGCTGCTCTCAGAACGAGCGGTGGAATAAGCGGAGTTCAGGGATTCCCGGCGCCTTAAAGAGGAGCTTCGGAGCAGAGCCACCGTTGGGTCCAGCAAGGGAGCGGGTGGAGCACTTGGCTCAATGTTAACCGGAGCATCGAAGAGATCGTGCAGCTCCAGCCAATCCTGAACGTTGCTAGGCGAACGACGATCCCCGAAACGCGGCATGCCCTCGTGCTTTGGCACCTGCAGGGTATGGAAGTGTGCTGGTGCTGGGGAAGGATTATTAGTGTGCGGTTGTTGTGTACCTGGCGTCGAGCGATCCTGGGCATCTTTGCGTCGGGGTGAGCCACGCGGCGGCACTGGCGGTGGCACCCTTGCCTTCAGGTTGCTGGCCGCCGGAGTCCGTTGCTTGACGGGTGGTGGAGCCCTTTCATTGGCGGCACTGCCGCTAGCTGAGCCTACAGCAGATGCTCCTGCTACTCCTACCGCGCCCGCTGGCGTGGGCTCCGTGGTGGGCGGCTTGACTGGCTGATGGATCTTGCCACTGCTGTGCGAGTGCGAGGTATGAACCGCTGAGGAAAGTAAAGGGATATATCGAGAGTAATTGGATCCGTAGGATACGTAGAAATGATTTCTATTAGATCTCTAATTAATATAGCTTCCACTTACGCCTTGTGACCGCCTCGCTGTCGCTATCAATGGAGCGCTGTATGGCCTTTGACAGGCTTTTTCTCTTCGAGGGCGAATGCTTAAGCGCTGCAAAATTTAGTTTAAATCAAGGATTAGTCAAAAAGTCCTTATTAAGAGTTTTTGGTACAAAAAGCTTAGCACTTCCGAAGCAACTACGCAAAGCCTTAGAGCAATACGGCTGCCGGGAAGCCATGGATGCCAGGGTATGTGGACTTAACTAACGTGATATAGAGAGGCATGCTTGGGCGTCCGTTTCGAAATCATATGAAAACAAAGAGGTGAACATTAATAATTGTATAAAAATTGTAATTTAAACCGCTTAAAAAAATGTGTTGAGTGAAACTCAAGTGAGATATAATGAAAAAATATAGATAGAGAGAGATAGAGACATCGATCATTAGTTTCTTTACCTATATAGCTGGTTACCAAGGTACGAAATTTTCTGTGATTCCCCTTGATCTCGGGGAGATCCACTATATGTATGCGTACGTAAGAGTGAGAGAGTGAATGCATTCGAGACATGGTCAAAAAGAAAGCAGAGAATAGAGCGGTTGTTGGATATTGATTTGAGTCGATGTTGGTTCAGATGCTCCACAACGGCGTCTACTCAGGCCAAGTGTACCATATTGCATTTTTGCTGCCACCGATCAATCGATCAACCAAAATTAGCAAGCTACAAGTGAATGTCTAATGGTATTCGGTGTGTCTGTGTGAATGTAATCGGTAAAAGGTAATAGGTAACTGGGGGTGTACGAGTGTGGTTTTTCTACTCAAAAAAAGTCTTCAACTGGAACTGAAACTGGAGTGCTTGCATAACTCGGCCAACTGCACACAAAAATGCCTTACAGTACGAGTACTTAGCCCGACTTCCACGCCCACGGCCCACTTACGGGAGGGTATCTTTCGGAACACCGTCTTGGCCATAAAGTTTTGGAATCTTTGAGCATAGAACGAGGGACGGCACACCGAAACAGTTTCCTAAAAAAATATAAAAGAAGGAAATTTTTAAAAGAGACATCAAGAAATGATTCTTTTAAGGATTCTTATGAGATGTATATATCCTGTGCAGAATTCATAGCTCACCCCATCGTGTATGATGCTTTTGAATGTGTGCTCTAGCTTCTTTTTCAGCCTGTAGGATTGCAGAATGTCGATGATGCCGATGTAGAGGAGTAGGCGTTCGCCCTTCTCACTCCTAGCTGGAATGCCGCCAGGTCTGGAAGTTATAGAATCCATTTAATCAGAGGTCAAGGGTTTATAAAACCGAATCACTCACGGCACATCCTCCTCGTCATCGATGGGCTCACTCTCCGCCTGAATGCTCTCCATGGCCGTGGAATGGGCCACCAGTCGCTGACGGTTGACGGACCTGTAAGTCATACTGGATTAGCTTTACAGATCGGTTCCATTGCTACCTGTATACGAGATACCCACTTATTCCTGCTGATGCCCGTGGCCGTGTCACGATCTTTGCCATCGCCCTCCAATCCGTCCAGCGGCTCGTCCACATCCACGTCGGAGTCCTCGGCCAGAGGCGCCCTCACCGGCTTCCTGTGTTCGCTCTGCTTCTCCTTTAGAGCAATGTCCAGGTTGTGAACGCCCAGGAGCAGTGAGTAGTCCATGATCTTGAAGGACTCCAGTACCGTGCAATCGCGCTGAATGGTCTTGATTAGCGCGGAGTATGTCTCGGCCTCCAGGAATATGCCATTGGGATGCTGTTCCATGAAGTCAAGGTCCTTGTACGTGGGCGACTTCTTGGCTCGCTCCGCCTTGTTGGCCTTCCGCTTGAAGGTGGACCCCTTAAGATCGTACTTCAAGTGCATCTTAACGGACGAGGGCAGCAGATTGTTCATGACCACCAGGCGAATGTTTTTGGCGTTGCTCGTCTGCAGGCAGTACAATCCGAAGAACTTTGGCAATAGCGTGCGCGGATTTTGATTTAGATTCATATAGTAACTGCAATAGAGGTACATTTTAGAGGGATATATTTGTTATATATTGGAGGAGATACCCACCCAGGCAGTAGTTTCTGTAAGAATTCACCCTCCTTGTGTTGAACCGTCTTGATAATGAACTCGTCGTCGTCCGTCAGGTAGAATATTGAACCGGAAGCACCAGGATTGGACAGTTCCCTCAGCGGGGACGTGCACATGGACATCTGTGAAGAATAGTTTAAGCATCTTGGATTATCATAAGGCATGAAGTCCTACCATAAAATCATCTGGTTGGATGCCAAACAGATCCCGAAAGTAGCGGAAAGCGATGGGTGCATAGATCTTATATCTGAACTCGCTATAGTGGTGGGCAGGTGTAAGGCTAGATCCCTCTGGCGGAAAGGTGATACTCTCGATCTCCCAGAAGTCCATCATAAGTAGATCCCGCTTGGGCTTTGAGGCAAGACTGCCAACCTGTCAAGTGTGTAATTAAGGGGTTATTCAAGAGTTTTAACTAGGAAACCTTTTAAAAAATTAACTTATTTAAAGTAATTTCGATGGCTGATATTTTCCCAAACATTCAAACGTCTTAAAAACGATTTCTAAGTTATAAGAGTTTTAATTATTTAATTATTACCGTGTGTTGGATGCCCAACTGAATGGAGCCCATGATCTGCGACGTCTGTATCTTCTTGTACGTAATCTCGCCACCCTCGCCGACTCGTCTGTGGCCAATCTTTCGCTCCTTGTCCGACTTGTTGTTGCCCGCACGCAACGGCCGACTGCCCAACTGGAGGATGAGTAAGTGAACCGGGATTAGACTCGAATTAATTGGCCTCCAGTGCCCGCCGTCCGGATGTACTTACCTCAGGCGATGAGTTGTTGCCCACATGGTCGTTGGAGGCTAAAAGAAGAACGGACAGAGAGCTTATTATTAGGCATCATATTTAATTCAGGCCATGACGCAGTCGCCTGGTCAATCACCGCGACTTGAACTTGACTGGTCAGGCCTCCGCCTCCACCTGCTCCTACGCTAGCTCCTACTACGTCTCCTCGCCCAGCAACCTTGTAACTTTCTTTTGTTATCAATCCACGAATATAAATATGAACTGATGGAAGTCCGTCGTCTATCAGGTGGTGGTTGATGCGGGGTTGGAAGTGTGCGAGGATTGGGGTCTAGGTGGCATGCGGGGGTGCGTCGGCTGACACTGCCTCACCTCCCTTCCATGCCACGCGAGACACATGCGCCAGGGGCGCACTTCCATTCGCCTGTCATTGATTTTTTTCTCGCTTTCGACGCGATGGTGAAAATAATGTGACGGTTTGCGGATAATAGTTACCATTGTTGGGATCCACCTGCTTGGCCTGCGATGTGGAGGAGCTATCCATGTCGATGGTGTTGATGGTGTCGCCATCGCCGGAGGCCATCGTGTTCCTCCAATTGTCCCTCGCTCTCTCTCTCCCTCTCCCTCTCCCTCTGCCTGCTACCTGGCTCTCCTCTCCTCAGCTAGGACTTCACTAGGACATGCTGTCGTCGTCTGGTAGGAAATTGGAGCTATTTGTAGCCGTTTTTCGTTTTTCGCCTTCTCAGATCTGCAGAGATTATCCAATCGAATGGGTTAACTGGGGGCAGGAACCTTGGATCTCTTGTCTGGCGCTGGCGTCAACGTTTTTGCCTGTCTAACGGTGATGTTGATGGCTCCTCTGCCACTGCTGTCATTTTCACTGCATACTCATAGGCTCACTGGAAGCGCCTGGCATGGCTGGAAGGGTGTGCGCAGGAAGGCGCGCAGGGCTGCAAACTCACAAGACGCAGGGTTGCTTTCGTAATAGATTCAAATTCTAAATCATTTAGATATCGAAAGTTGGCGCAAATATTATCATTCTGATGGTAATAACTAATTTAAAAGGATATACTATATGTGTAACCTTTACAGAAATTTAATACAATTATTTGCCTCGAATCCCAAATCCCTTTTGAAATAAAAAAACATTTTCTTTGGCAGTTAAAAGCCACGACGAAAGCGTTCAGTCTAATGCACTTTTACTTGTTCGTTTCTTGTTTTATTATTAGCGTTTCAGTATCTCAATTAAATCTATACATCAGATATAACTATCATATATATATATATATTTATTTATGTGGTAAATACGTATGTATATGAATACAATAATTTCTTGTTATGAGTGTTTTCTTTCTTGTTTCTAATGGGTTCGTTTGCTTTCGCATTTTGAGTTTGGTTTTTTTGTATGTGGTGTTTTCTTGTTTATTTGTGTTTCGTTTCCCTTAGACATTACATGCATGTACAAAATAAGCGCTTTTTTTTAAAATACCGCAAAAAATTACGTTTATCCGTTAAAAGTCTATTTAAAAATGAAATATCATCAAATATTCTAGTCATCAAAATATATAAAAAACCAATATAGCCTACATCGAAGGACACTACCAAACTAACTGCTTAGAGCTAGGGATGCGATGGACATTACTACGGCGACCGTTGTCCATTTGCGTTGTATAGTTGAGGCCTTATCTGTAAGGATAATTGGGGTTACTTAATTATAAAAACTAGAGAAGCTATAATTTGGCAACAACTAGACTTTATTTTGAGAGCTTTAAATATCAAGTACAAGAACACATGTTGCTACTTTTGGCCTTCCAATTAGTTATTTTAATATAACGCGAGATTTCTATTGAAATTAAACTCCAGGTTCTAAACTCTTTCGCTCTGCTTACCTGTACTTACCATAAAAAATAGTCTCTCTACGTTTGGTATAGTTCGTGCCAATCAGGATGAAAGCACAGGTGATCGGGGTGGGGGATTCGAGTTGATCTCTAGGAATGCGCGTGCGCACGGTCATGCTATAGAGGCCACTGGGGTCCTGGTCCAACTGCGTTAGCACCGACTCCAGTATGTGAGTGTCAAACCTGTGGACAAAATTACGAGTTATTCAATGCCGTGGCAAAGAAACAAAAAACAAGGCCTCCAAATTGGCGTGCTCTGCTTACATGACCGACAACATAGGTTGCGGAAAGACGTGCTGGACCGCACACATAATGTCCACGTCCGTACGCGCGACACCCATCCGCGCCTCCAGCATGAAATCCGACTCAGGAACTGCCAGTTGGGGAGCCGGGGGGATTCGGATTCGGATTCGATGCAGACAGGAGCCAAAAACAAAAAAGCCGTGAGAATTAATCAAGTGTCAAACTAAACAACGAGACGAAAAGAAACAACATAAAGGAGTCGAGTCTTGCAAAGAAAAACAGAACAGGACAAACAAGCGCCGGTGGTTCCGACCACCGCAGAGACTGCCACATGACACGCATGCAAATATGAAGGGAAATCACACGTGCGCCAAACTGACGGGGAATCAACGTCTGCACGGCAAGAAAAGTGGTTTCCTTTCCATGAATTGGAATAAAACTAATCGCTGCCTAGCAAATAAGTATTAAGAATAAAACCTAAATAATATCCGGTTTCTCTTTAAATGAAATTTTATACTGTAGCTCAATTTTCCCTATCATAATCATTACATATTCATATTTCACATTGAATATTTAGCACTCAAAAACTTCACTACTATGTATATACCCAGAGAAAAAATTTAATCTGCAAAAGTGCCTTCAATTTAAACAGATTTTTTCAAGTGTTTAATGGTCATACAGTGGTGTTTGCTTAAATAAAGGAAAACAAATATTTTTCATTACCCTTGCAAATGGTATGAAAATATTCGCGCAAAAGTTTACTGCATAAAAGCGAATGGATTCGTTGAGGCTATCAGAAGTGAAATTCGAATAAGACTTGAAGTAAATAAAATAAAATCAGGTTTAAAAATAATATTTTAATTATGGAAACTGATTCTGGAAATTGATATTCGGGTGTATATTCATGTCCATTAGTGAAAACAAAATCAGTAAAATGACCGGACTTTGTGGAACACACAAATAAGTTACGGAGCATGCTTAAAAGGAAGCAACTTTAATTTATTACTGACGTCTCAACTTTTTATACTCTTGTTTATTACTATGTAACTCATTAAGTTTTCCCCAAAATAGATGAGCCAGCAAAAAAGAGCGAAGGCAAACTTAAATGGAGTAACATGGCATGCAGCCAAGATGTGTTCAAAGAGGGGGAGAGGAGAAATAGAGCAAGTGGGATAACCAGGAATGAACCAAGAATGTCCTACACTAAGCTGCTGCCTGGCTGGCTTGACTTGACTTTTGTAAATTGGCTCAAAGTACATAAATCATTACGTTGTTCTCTCTGTGTACACATCGTCCCAAACCCCCAAACAACACCTTCATATGCAAACACACAAGTCAAGACGACAGTGGCAGTGGGCGGGTCACCCGACTTGGCCATCACCCCACCTTACACCTAACTCTGTACACCTTACACCTTGCACCCCATACAACCTACACCATACACCTGGCGCCTGCTCATAACCCGGGTCAACCCACAGCACACCCAGGAACCGCACATCTTTCAGGTGTACACCGCCGATCCGTGACACCCACCGATTATTTGCAAGCGGGCACTCCGCTTATCCGTGGTCTGAAAGGTCTGCACCGCACACGTGTACTCCCCCGTCATGTTCCAGTCGGGATTCTTTATCGATATAACACCGGGACTGCCCTCCATGGCGAATATTTTGGTGTCTATCTTCGACTTCATGAAGCCCTGCAAGCGCAAGAAAAAGACAAAGACAAGGGGGATTGTATTATGTTAATTAATTTCGTGACCCTTCGGGCAGTGCTGCCAACGACCTATATCAGGGAACCGGGACAGATCAACAAAAGGGAAGCGGCAAAAATTGATAAGAAGGGAGAGAAACTTCCTTCTTCCCTGGTAAATTATGAATAATATGCGTATTATGTTTTCTTTTTTAATACATGCTTTAAAAATGAAATATTATATATAAAACTAACATCTGTAAATCAAAATATCCAAAAATAATGGTAAAGAATAAGCAGAGAAAAATTAAATAAGGTAAAGAAGGCTGGCTTCCTTAAAAACAATTTCTATATATAATATTGATAAGCTCTTTGAGTTGTTTCTGGATTATTACTTAAAGGAATCTTGACTCTGCTAACAGATAATTCTAAATATATAAAATAAAATTTTAGCCTGTCAGTTAACCTTTCAAGTGAATTAAACTTCAGGGAACTAAATAAATGTCGAGATGTGTCAGGTAAAAGGACATAATGACAGCACTGGCCCTGTGGTAAGTGACTCGTGACTCACCATGGCGAATCCTTTGACGGAGGGTATCCACTGGTAGATGGAGTGATTGTTGAACAGCCACTTCAGGACGAATCCCTGCTCCCCCGCTCCGATCTCCACTTCACAGTCCAGGACCAAGGGATCGGGTTCCCGGTCACGCACCAAAGTGTAGGTGTGCGGCACCCGCAGGTTGGTGATGCGCACCGAATGGGACACTGGGGGGAATGATAGACGGGATGTGATTACTGTAGGGATTTCCCGCAACACCGAGCACCATTTTTCTGGTAAGGCTCACCCGTGAGGAGCGTGAGCCAGGCCATCGCCATGGCGCACAGCCTCCGGCCGCGCCAGACCGCCATGAGAGCGGCCTACTTCGAAACTGGTTTCCTTAAACTCTCCAGATCCGTATCTTGAGCGACTTGGTCCGCTGCTAGTTTCACCACAGGACACTCTTAATGCCTAATACCGTTGGACGCTATAATACTTATCGTTGACTATTGTGGACACTAATTTTTAAGGATGCTTGTTGGGGGCATGCAGACACAGTCATTATCACCAATCTCAATCACAGCAGCGGCAGGGGGATGTTGTTTTTTATTTAGTGGGGGAGGCCTTTTGGGACGCGGCGAATGCCTGGCACAGAAACTTTTCTCGCTCAGCACCTCTGCAGCAGCCTCGGCTCCTTGGCTGGGCGACAGGACATCTCGCTACAACTATTACAAACTCCCTTTATGACCCGGGCCATTTAAAAACTTTTGCACATTGCACACATACAGCTAACTCGTTTTTTGTTGTCCTGAAAAATCGACTTTTGCACCCGCAACCGTGCGTTATAGTGTCTGTCTGTATGTGCGGGCGCCCACCTCTATTAGTGTGTTGGTGGAGATCTTTGGGAGAGAATTATAATGCCAAGCCGAGCGGAGTTCGTACTTGTGCCTGGCGGATACCAATAGCTAGTGTTGGTATCTTCTGCGGAGCTCTGTTGTCCCGCTTCCAGGCGCAGCTTTTAATGTTTTAACACTGGAAACCGCACTACTACTACGCCGCGTCCGGAGAGCCAAGCTTTTGGTAGTGCAAGCGAGAGCCGAGCTTCGCGGAGTTGTTGTCTCGCCCCGTCTCGTTTCGTCCTTAGCCAAAAAACAGCTGAGCGTCGGCCATTGCGCAGGTGCATGGAAGCTAGCGGCACTGATTTACCGTTGAGGCAGGGTTGCCACTTTGCTTGGTAGATATTAAGGCGGTTAATTTAAAAAACGTTAAAGCATTTTTAAGCGCTAACACGGTTAAGTTTCATTGAAGGATAAAATCAAAAGTCTATATACAAAAAAATTCTATTTCATTATCCATATCAACTTAATGGGTTTCTTTTCCTTTTTTAAATACATCCTTTTTTAAAACGAGTTCTTTCGAACACTAAACAAATTATAATAATACCGATTTTTAAATAACTTATTTATATCTAACAATTATAAGGTTTTACGATAACATCCATATTCAATTACCTTTTAGTTAAATAAAATACCCCACCACTACCGCTACTATTGTTATGTTTGTTGTTTATTAAATTTTCAATAACATCAGCAAAATTCTTACACTAATTTATAGTTAATAGTGTTCTGTTCCACTTGCTTGGATGTGTTACAATTACACTCACGCACACACTCACACTTACACATGAATAGTACTTGTATGGTATAGAGATATGAAAATCCAGAAGCTGGAATCCCCAGAATTCGCTTTAAAAGTATGCCTATAAATGTGCAATGCATCAGATTTACATGGATATACGCGCCGATATATAGTACGTAAGTGGACTGACTGACAACTATAGCGTTGACTTTGATTTGGTCGCATTTAAAAACTCGTGTGCTGGCCTGCTACATCCTACAGATTCAGATATACACCTACTGATCACTACTTGCTGCTCGGATTTGGTTTTGGAGTCTGGGGGTTTCCTGTGATAACGGTAGGAGCTTTAAAACGTGCTTAGATCGAAACTGAAATCACCAATAGATTGGACTGTACACAGGACAGGCTTCGACTGATCCCGCCTAGTCGCTAGCCTCCTCCTGGCTGCCACCGTGCCGCAGATGGTGGCCAATGAGCGTCTCGATGCGGAAATCCTTGGCGCTGGTCTGCTTGCTGGTTCGCAGGCTCACCAATGGCTCACTGTCAAAGTGCCCTCGTGTCCTGGGACTGCGGCTGGCAGCCTCAGCATCCGCGAAGATGAGGGCTTCTGGCGGCGCATCCAAGCGATTCGTACAGACACTGTCCACGGAGTCCGAGATGTGTGAGTCCTCCTGCTCATTGCCGCTCTCCACGTCGATTTTGTCCTCGCAGGAGTCGTCATCCGCCTCGCCTTCAGCCTCAGCATCCACATCCGCCTCCGTATCCGCATCTTCGGTATACATATTGAGATCCATATAGCCGCCCCGCGACATTCTCTCCGGGTAATCCCCGTGGCTGGGAATGCCTGCTGCACTGGCCACAGTCGCCATATCAAAGGCATAAGGACTTTTGTACTTGGCAGCTCTGCTGCTCTCAGATGGACCACCTCCTCCTCCGCCTGCTGAGCTACTATGTGGCAATACATCTAGGGCGTCCACTCCTCTTCCGCGATTTATAAATGGCAGCCGGTCAAATTTGTCGCCGGACTGGCTGCCCTGGTAAAACGAAGCCTCTGCGTTGGCAAAAAAGTTGAACTTCTTGTCCGCCCGCAGAGCTGAATCGAAGACATCCGCCGGATTGTGGCCCACATCAAAGTCTCGGCTGCCATTGAAGTTGGGTACATTGAAGTGCACCGGAACAAGGGGCACCGGTTTACGAATCCAGAACGGGGATAGGGTGCCGAAGACCGCCGGAAAGGAGAAGCGCTGCATTGTGGGAGCTCGCTTGTACCGCTTGCGGCGCCGCAGGAAACTGCCGTTGTCGAACATATCCTCGGCCAGCGGATCCAGTGTCCAGAAATTTCCCTTGCCTGGATTTCCTGGCTCACGGGGCACCTTAATGAAGCAGTCGTTTAGACTGAGATTGTGCCGAATTGAGTTCTGCCAGGCGGGGAACTTGTCCTTGTAGTACGGAAAGCTGCGGGTAATTAGAAGGTTTGAATATAAGTTTTTATATGTAAATATAGTGGGTAGTATTAATTAACATTAAATTTAATATCAGCTTTATAATATTTTTGAGAAAATAATTCAAATATTTTAATAAATAGGATCATTCAAACATGTAACTTTTGAAAACTATACATTTTGTTTATGATTTATGACTTTAGATCAAAGTGGATCATAAATATATATATATATTTAATAATAAATTAAATAATTTTATAAAAGAAAACAAACAGAAACAAATAAGAAAGGAAACTAATTTCGGAATTCCAAACTTTATTTACCTTTGAATTAGGCAATTGAATTATAGGATTGAATCGGAAATCGATCATAATTTGGCTTAAAATATTTGAATTCTTTGAATCAACATTCTTTTATATTTTTATACGACAATTTGCTAGATAAGTCAAAGTTAAAAAACCTTTAACTAAGCCAAAAATGCCTTAATTCCAATTCGGAAAGTGTTCGTTCGTGTGTTAGTTTTTATTAGGTTAATAAATCTGCATACCCAATTTAAAGTTTAAGAAAACTCAAACTTTTATACATTTTTGAAAATTTTAAATAAAAATAAATAAATAAAAATTTTAAATAAATATATTTAAATTTATATTTAATAAATAAATAAATATTTTTATGTGACAATTTTTTCTATAAACCAAAAATAAAATAAATCTCATAACTCAGCCAAAAATTCATTAATTTCAATTCGGAAAGCTTTCCTATGTTCGTTTTGAATACGTTAAAAAATCTGCATACTCAGTTTAAAACCTCAAATTATTTTCAATTTTTGAAAATTTTAACGATGTAACTCCTTATGTTTTTTTTTAAATCGAAAAAATTTTAAAAATTGTTTTTCTTTAAAATATTGCTAGATCAACTCGTCTATCGATGCTGATAAAGAGTATATATGATTTGTAGGGTCGAAAATGACTCCTTCACAAAGTTACAAGCTTATTAGTGAAATTATACCCTGCAAGGGTATAAATAAAAAGATCCTTAATAATTCCCAAGTTATTTAAACTTACCGCGACATGATAAAGTCACAGATCCCGCTTAGCGTGAGCTTCTTGTGTGGCGACTGTAAAATTGCCATGGTGATGAGGGCTATGTAGGAGTAAGGTGGCTTCACTAGCGGACCACCGACGGAACCGGAACCATCTCCGCCAGTGGCGCCGCTGGAACTATTTCCGCCAACAACTGACGGTTCAATGTCACTGTCATCGCAGCCCATGGACATGGCATCGATGGCGGCGGCGGCGGCACGCGAGGATGCACTGCATCCGGTAGAGCCGCGTTGGCTCTTGTGCAGAGGCGGCGGTGATAGCGAAACACTGTCGTGCAGCGTATGCATGGGATCCGTGCTAGTGCTGGTATGCATTTTTACGGGCGATCAGGAGCTTGCACTGGAGATATGCGATTTGCTTAATTAATTAGAGGACGCAACACTTGTTTTTGTATTATTTGGTTTGACTATTTTGCTCAGGAACTGTTTATTTATTATATTTTTTCTTTTGGATTCACTTGCAATTTGCTTTTGGAGTTAATAAGAGTTTTTTCACCAATAGATAACGCGAACCGATATCGATAGCACTTCCTATAAGGATAACGGTACAGATGGCCAGCAGCGTCTTGGATTGTGGAAAGTGGAAAGCGTAAAGCGCGTCGTCCGTCGTCGTGTCCGTTGTAGGCGGAATCCGCTGGCCAAATGTTAACTGAATCGCAACGAAAACGAAAATCTTCTCGCCCAAAATGTTTTTCTACATAACTCAAACATTTATTTATGAAAAACCGCTGCCATTGCCGCTGCCGCCGACGCTTCCCTGAGCTTTTGTGTCGGCGCTGCTATGTTTCGTATCTCGAATAACTGTGATTCTACTGCCGGCGTCGACGTCGACGCGAACAGCTCTGCAGCGGCAACATAGCAGCATCCTGGCAGCGTCCTGTCAGCGAGAGTGAGTACGCCATCTCTCTTGTTCAGCCGGGGATGAGACGACATGAACCAATCTACGTCGCTTTTGCCGTTTCACTCTCTCTCACACTAGGGTGTGTATGTTTGTGTGTGTGTAACGGGATATAAAATGGTGGAGTGCTGCCTGTAAATGTGATATTTGTGTTTTCCTCTCCCAACGGCGGCAAATTGGCAGCGACTGCAGAAGCCAAAACTCAAGAGGGCGTTGGGTTGGCATAGGGCGAGAGGAAGGGGAGGAGGCGGACGGGAGGATAAACATTTTGCGCAAATTTAGATACCTTTTGCAGCTTTGACGTCGTGGCTCTTAATAATGTTTCATTATGTCAGCCACATGGATGGAGGCAGTCGTCCCATTCGCATTCACCCGATGTCCCTCCTCCTGAACCACACGCCGCTCTCTTTTCCCACCCTCTCCTCCCGCGTTCAAATGTTAGCATTTTTATGTGCGAATGTTTTTCTAACCGTATGTCGGCGTTTCTCGGTTTCTCCTGTTTTCGCATTCTCGGTCTCATTCTTGCTCTCCCTACCACAGGACACTTGCAAAATATTAACCCTAACGTACGAGTAGCTAAAATGTTGCCTACTTTTCAGGGTAAATGAAAGTTATTCTATTTTGTAAATTTCTTATTCTTGGAACAATATTCTCAAATTTATCTATTAAGTCTTGCAAGTCATTTTTTATAATACTATGTATATACAAATAATTTTACCGTTGTACCGTTCATACTTTCCAGGGTGTTATTAACGCAGTCAGAAGCTTGCAATGCAGTGAAATAATCATTTCCTACCCTATATATTCTTGATCAGCATCAACTGCCGAATCGATCAAGCTATGTTTAGTAGAAAACTTAATTTTTTAAATTTTCTAATTTTTTACAAATTTTATAAGAGGTTACATCGTTAAAATTGTCAAAAATTTGAAAAAATTTGAATTGAAAAAACTTGTAAACTTAGTATAAAAACTAGAGCAAAATCGCTTTCCGAATTGAAATCAATGAATTTTTTCTTAGTTATGATCGATTTCCCATTCGATCTCCATATAGATTTCGCATAGTTTTGTATATAGGTATGTATATTTCCAAAAGGAAGTCATTATTTTCTCTGAGTGCATCTTGTCCTGTTTTTTGGGGTGAAGAGGCAGAGGGAACGGAATGCGCCATTTTTGCCAACATCTCCTAAACACAATGGGGAAAGCGAGAGAGGGAGAGGCAACGAGTGGGTGGCAGAGGAGGAGGAGGAAAAGGTGGCAGGGAAACGGTACATGTGTTTGCTGCATTTGTACTTGTATCCAAGTGAGTTTTGTATTATTTCTCTTTTTCATTTTCGCTGTTTTTGTTCTCCAGTTGTTAGACATTATTGTTGTTGGAGCAGCAGCAGCAGTGTTTGGAGCCTTCCCTTTTCAAATTAAACATTCAGTAGTCACTTTTATTTGTTGTACTTTGTTCAAATTAGTTTTCCAGTTTTGCGGAAGTTACCCACACACACACACACACCGGCCCACACAGACAAAGGCAGTGACACGCACACATACAGAGGAAGAATGAAACACAACACAATAATGGCCGCCATCTTCGCATTCAGGACAATATTGATATCGCTTCCTTCACTCTTGGCATCGTTTTCATTATTCTATTTTGGCTTTGCCACCACTTTTATCCCCATTCCAATCTCTTGATACCAAATCCTCTAAGTCCTTCCCCTGCGTTTCTGTTACACTTACGAATCAATGATTTTTTGGCCAGATTTTTAGGGGCGTGGCATCGCTATTCCAGTATGTATCTTTATCCTCGTTTAGTGGTGTTGGTATTTACGGGGAGATTTAGGATTTTTGGGAAATGGGGATAGTCATCCGTTGAGCAATCTAGTTGCGCAAAATTTATTGCGGCTTTCCCTTTGTCTTCTTTATGAGCAAACAAAAGATTTTATGGCTACCAAACGGATATTGTTCGGGGCAAAAAAGTAATCAAGTTGCGCTCTCCCCTAAAACACACATGTGAATTCAAAATCTTTATTAACAGGTTAAACGATCGGATATTTTTAAGGGAAAGATTTAAATAAATTTAAAGAAGCAATTTTTTACATCACAAAATGCCATACATATTCCCTTAAAATTATTTTTGCAAGGCGGTGAAATATTTCATATTTATAAGTAAAGAAATATGTACTAAGTACATATCATAAGTAATAACAATAAAAGCATGAGAAGTATTGCAGAAATATATTTATGAAAAAAAAGTCAATTAAATATACCTAATAGCTTACATTAATTTATGGAATTAAAAATAAAATTTGTCTTCGCAACCGAAAATTTTTTAATTTAAAGTTCTGTTTACACTGAATTTTTTTTTCTTGTATTTTTTATCTGTTGGGTAAATTACTTTTTACAACGAAGCCGAGTTTTCCTACTTTTTATTACAAAACGTTTAATTGTCAAACAAAATATCCGCAAAATAAACATTACAAAATCATTACTTATTAATTAGACAACTGCGGCTTAATCTATTTACAGTCTGAAAACTGAAATTTAATTAATGACAAATAATGATATATATTTTATATTATGCATATCCTTGTAGTAGGGACATACATTCTATTATTATTCTGTTCAAACAATAGAAACTATAACATATATATTTTTTCCTATTATGACTTAAATTAAAACGTTCTTTTGTTACTATTTGTATTTTCTTTCACAAACCTCAAATAATTTCCCGCTGATTAAGGATAATCCAGTAGCTGGTTCCTGTGTTTTGTCCTGTCATTCAAGTTAATCCCCATGACATCTCCTTCGTATATACTATATATCGAAAATATTTGCTCTTTCAATCCACTTTTCATTACTTAACCGACTGCTCAGTAGTTTCCATGGCAATTAAAGATTGCCAACTATGTGCAGCCCGCTCATCCCTATCGCTGGCCTTCTCCAATCCCTTGGTCATATCCGTATCTATGATGTTCTCTGTCATACTATGGTTAATCACCGCCCTGAGCTCAGCATGAGTGCGGACGAAGGACGAGGGACTTTGGCGGCCAGTTGAGCGTAAGGATGCGGTGCAGTGAAGCTTTCGCAGGGGAACAATTAACTTATGGCCAAACAATAACGCCCAGGAATGCACGCTGGCAGGAACCAGCCACCAGTAGCATATCCTGCTCAGCACCGTCCTCAGGTTTGGTGCAGATATATATATACATATACGCATCCATCCCCATTCCGTACTGCAGCAGCAGCGGCATGATCCAGCAATAATCCCTCTTTTGTCAGCAAATTTATTGCACACAAACAAACGACCAAGGATACGCCAAGAGGATAAAAGGAGCAAGAGCGAGAGGATACTCCGACTACGGACGTCGGATTCGGATTCGGGATTGGTCTTTGGCTTGGATGAGCGCAGACTTTTCACAATACAAATTTTTATTGCGAAATCTGCAAAAGGCAAATAAAAGATTTGACACTTGAATTGCTTTGACTGCAAGGATCCGGCAAGGACAATCATTCTTGTTCGCACTGAACAAAGAAGACAGTTGCCAAACCCGAACGATGTACCGCCTCTAGCATTATACACTGCTGGAAAACCTTTAGTAAATATAAATTTTATATTTTTAGGAATTGTTTTACTATTAACCAAGTAGAAAGTAAGTCGATGTTTCTATATCTTTGCATATGGATTCTTTGGTTGGAAATTCATTCTCTATTTTTATTAATTTTCCTCAAGTGTATCGGCTTGGTGTCCTCTAATTTGTACTCAAGATACCGCATCCTGACATATCCTGCATCGATGGTTGGGATTCGGGCAGGTGGTGGCACCTGCTGTATCGCAAAGCAAACACTCTCGAGGCCTGGCAAAGGACTTCGAACCGCGGGATGAAGGCAGGCTTAATAGCTTCACTCACTCTCATGTCATTATTAAATCTTTGAAGTATCTGCAGAAAGGCCGTAAGAGATACACATACAGGCACTTGAATACTTGAGTGACGCTCAATTTGACGGACAAGGATGTGGAAGCAACCCCGCCGTAAGGACAATGGGAAAAATCACAGCAGGCAACGGACAAATTGCACAACTGCAGCCGCAAATTTCGACCAGAGCCTCTCCAACCTGCCAACAAGTGGCAGGCACAACAATGGATTCGATTTAACCACTTCGCCCCTGTCCCACCCGGAGTCGCAGTCCTGCGGACTAGCTGGAATATTTCACGCTCGATTTATCCGGATTTTTTTTTTAAGCACAGGGTTGGGACAAACAGCAAGTGCCACACACTGATGTTTCGTGGCTCATTTCATTCAGTTTTGTTCATTTGATGTGGATGCGAATGCGGATGGTGGTGGCTGTGGTGGTTGTGGTGATGTGCTGATGCCTTTGCCTAAGCCTCTTGTTTGGCGGCAATAAAAATCGAGGACCGTGTGCCTAAGCCTCCTCAGAACCATTCCTGCCTCCGCCCTCTCTCTCTCCGTCCAGGATGTCAATTTCTCAATTCATAAATAAAACCCAAAGCCCTTTCAATGTGTCAGCACAAGTGTGGAAATTGCGAGGGGCGCAGAAGTGGGCATCAGCATCGCTGGCTGAGTGTGTTATTGTTGTTTATTTGCCGGAGCCTGGAACTGCCTGGGCCACCTATAACCACAGCCGAAGGATATCACTCCCTTTTCTCCTTTTTTTTGAATTGCTCTGCATCCGTGTGGAACTCAACTGGGTACTTGGATCGCATTAAGTTGATTTATTATGCAGCGCAGAATTCAATTAAGTGGGATGATTGTCACTTGTCCGTATG